AGAACCAGTCGCAGGACGACCACTCGCTGGGGCAGCTGCTGGCCCAGCAGGTGCGCCAGCAGCTGGCCCAGTTGGAGGCCGAGCAGGGCGACTCACTGGACCAGCAGCCGCCGGAGAACGGCGCGGCAGAGCCGACGTCCACCACCAGCCGGCCCTACCGGCATCCGTTCATCCCGCTACCGCCCACTACGACCAGCGAGCCCTACCGGCATCCGTTCATTCCGTCATCCCCAACCACCACCAGCGAACCATACAAGCATCCCTTCATCCCGTCATCTCCCACCACGACTAGCGAGCCTTACAAGCATCCTTTTATTCCCTCATCGCCGACTACGACCAGCGAGCCATACAAACACCCATTCATCCCTTCGCCGCCCACCACGACCGGCAAACCATACAAGCACCCGCACATCCCCGTGCCTCCCGAGAGTACTGCCCGGCCCCGCGTGTCGCCGGCACCGGAGTCGGCACCGGAGCCGGAGCCGGCGCCGCAGCTGAAGCTGGGACCCGCCGCAGGCGCGGCGCGTACCGGACGCGGTGGCGCCCCGTCTGCACCTGCCGCGGCGGCGGCCGACAGCGGCGGCCACCACCACAGCGGCGCCGGCGCCAGGCGATGCCGCTGCTGCGGCCGCCGTCGCCGCGGCCGCCGCCGCCACCATCGTGCACGAGCAGACGCTTGAGGCCGGCTTCATAGTGGGCGAGTACGGCGAGGTGCGCGGCGGCGGCCAGGTGCGCGGCGTCAAGTACGCCGCCGACAGCAGCGTCGATCGCCGCCTGCTGGAGGCGGCGCTGCAGCAGTTCCTGCGACTCTGAGCCCGCTAGAGCGGCGCCGCCGCTGCCGCTCGGGTATTTATTGAGGCCGCCGGGCCGGCCGGTGGAGTCTGCTGGCTGTGAGAGCGGGGCGGCCGTCGTGAGCGGGGCCTCGCCACGCCGCGCGGCGCAGAGCCGCCGTGTGCATGCCGGGACCATTGGCTGTCTGCCGGCGGAGGGACGTTGGAGTGGGACTCGCGGGACGCGCGGCCCGTGTGTCGGCCGACTGGGAGCGGCGCAACCGTGCGCCAGTCTAGCAGGCAGCAGTCATCGCTCTGCGAGTTTAGCCGGCAGATGTTATAGCGCACCGAGCGTTGGCTTTGGCCTGAGTTGGCTGTAGCCGCGGTTTCTGAGGTTCAGGTAGCTCGGAACAGGCTTTTTGCCTACGTGTTCATGGGCAGTGTGCGCGCACGTCGGGATTGGGAAAGGAGGAAAATGGCGAGTGGCTAACGGACGGCTGTTTTCCGTCGGAACGCGGCCTTCGATGCTGCGGTGTGCGCACGATGCGACAGACGTTGTTGAAATATCTGAGGTTGTTGATTGGGCTCGCAGCATGAGTGCCATTGGATTGTTTGCGTCATCGCGTCATCCACTTATCACTTGTAATACATTCGTAATAAAAGGCCCACGCGCCCGGATCAGATGGGCACCGAGTGGGCATACCTAACATGGCGTTCAGTAGGCTGACAACGTCTCGTTTCCAGAAGGGGTCATCCATGTCGGCCACTTTCAACCCCTGCTCTGGTTAAGCACTGGCTATGCTGGGTTGCGCCGCCCCTTATTAAGTTGTCTTGAATGTAACGTCCCTAGTGTTTTTTTTTTTGGCATGAGAGGGAGCCAACGGTACATAGATTTAGGGGTTTGGGACATAAAAAGATGCCATGCTTTGCAACCACACCTGAACGTAATGTTACAGTTTCGTTAGGCTTGTAACGTTACGCCTTCACTGTAACGCTACGCTTTCAACACACCGCGTTACGGTTCTGTCACTCTTCACCAAACTCCCCTCTCTCCTCCGTGCATAACGTAAGATATGGGCAACCCCCGAATAGGTGACAAATGATCACTTCAATGTCCAGAAGCAAAAGTGTGAGCTCACGCTGGCAGAATCGGAGAACCTTAATGCCATGCCTACGATAAAGAGAAGGCCGCATGCTATACCGGGCAGTCGTCTCAGTATCCGACTGGGACCCTTGCGCTGATGGCGGTCTGGGCGAACATGGCCCGGACGGGGAGAGGGACGCCTACCACTTTCCTCTGGTATCTTTAGACTGGAGAGGACTGTACATACGACCTAAATGACATTCGCTAGCTCATGCAAAGCTTTATATGAGCTTACGACACTGTTTTAGTGTTTTAGGTCGGAGTCAAGGTCATAATAGAGAAATCACATTGTGCCCTATCAAATTGCGTTTTCTCCAAATAACGTATGGTGGGCTTATCTGTTCTTTGGAATGTCCATCTGCTTGACCAGTTTCACATTGATCTGTTTATCCACTTTTAGCGCGCGCCACTACAGGTCACCGATGCCATCTGTTGTTTCCTTTCAACCAGATGTGTCTATGCCAACTAGCTCTGTTTCTTGTTTACAGACAGGAGCCGTGGATAATGTCACAACCGATTTAAACAAAACCTCAACTTCGTTTTCAACTTAGATCAGTATTCAGTGAGATATATTGACCTTTCTGACGTCAGCACACAATATTTGAACAAGATCATGGTGGTGACCGCTGGAAAGCACTAGGCTAAAGCGATTAATTCGCACAAACAGCCATTAATCAAATCTCAAGGTCATGAAAGTCAATAAGATCACCATCCAAAAGTCACGTATAGTTTATTGTTACTACCTAGAGATGAGTAAGTGACATTATGGGGTGAAAGGGCAAATAGAGCCGACAAATGCCGGCAGTCGGGTGCACGACGTCTCAAAGCACAGACAGCCTGATGGCATATGATAATCATCCAGGTCAACATGCCACTGACAGGTGAAGAGGCGATATCATAGGGCAAAAAGTGAGTAATTCTGTGAATTACGCTACTAGAGCGGATACTACCGGGGTCATAGATTACGGTCTAAATTGGTCAGTGACCTATGACGACCACATGCAGGTGAGGATTCAGGGTAACAAGCTATGAAGACTACGGGAAGTCATCACAACACTTTGCCAACATGTCTACGTTCATTCCCATTTTGCGCCGACATGCTTAGACTAGCACCGCTCGGGTCACTGACCCGACATGACATGGACCTACAAGTGTTGGAGCACCCGTGAAATCAATAAAAATGCTGAAGATTTCAGGACGCCTGGGTATTTCGTTCTCTAGCTATTTCTGAAAAGGTCATGGGGACAGATGCCTACTCCTCCAGTCAATGAGGGGGCAAAGGTATAAGGCATATCCCAATTACACTGATGACAAGGTTGAAAAAGCTAAGCACTCCGCATTTGTGCGAGCCTTTGCACTTTGACTAGTTCAACACCTGCCCAGTAGCGCCGCACAGGATGGTGGGACGAATGGTGGCGACACGGCTGCCCGACTGCAGGGCTCCATGTACAACGCCGGGACTACACGCACAGATTAGGTGCGACACGGCTGCCCGACTGGGGGGGCTCCATGTACAACGCTGGGACTGCACTCACAGGTTAAGTGCGACACGGCTGCCCAACTGGGGGGCTCCATGTACAACGCCGGAACTGCACGCACAGGTTAGGTGCGACACGACTGTCCGACTGCAGGGCTCCATGTACAATGCCGGGACTACACGCACAGATTAGGTGCGACACGGCTGCCCGACTGGGGGGCTCCATGCACAACGCCGGGGCTGCACTCACAGGTTAAGTGCGACACGGCTGCCCGACTGCAGGGCTCCGTGTAAAACGCTGGAACTGCATTCACAGGTTAGGTGCGACACGACTGTCCGACTGCAGGGCTCCATGTACAACGCCGGGACTGCACTCCAGGTCAAGTGCGACACGGCTGCCCGACTGGGGGGCTCCATGTACAACGCCGGGACTGCACTCCAGGTCAAGTGCGACACGGCTGCCCGACTGCAGGGCTCCGTGTAAAACGCCGGAACTGCATTCACAGGTTAGGTGCGACACGACTGTCCGACTGCAGGGCTTCATGTACAACGCCGGGACTACACTTACAGGTTAGGTGCGATACGTCTGCTCGATTGCAGGGCCGCGTGTACAACGCCGGAACTGCATTCACAGGAAAGGTGCGCATGTAAGAGCGCGGCGAATGACGAGAGCTGCCCACGCTGTTCTTTTACCGGTGGTATTACCTGCGCCGCAAAGCCCATGTGTCATGTCAAGAGTCGTGTTGGCACGGCTGGTTGCGGCCTGAACTTGGATAACACAGGTGATTAGCTGTAAATGGCCTTGAATGGGCCGGCGTGATGTCAGTTCTGGAAAGGAGCGGGTCTGAGTAGAATAACGAGGTCACCGACGTTGACGTGAGCAAAGCACAAGCGGATTTTTGTATCCGCTTGTGTAATACAAGTGAATATTGTCAGCCGCCGCCGGCTAGGTTTCATTAGCAGACCAGATGCACTGACCCAGTTATATTTTTGAGAACGTTTAAGGAACCAACGGACAGCTTTTGACAATGTTATATGCGGGTAGCTATCTTTTCTTGACATCTAGCAATTATCTTACACTACGATATTTCAAACGCCGTTTCCACCCAGCGCACTCGTGCGTACACGCGTTCCTTATTCTTACTGAAGTCATACATTTTCGAGCAGACCTAAATGTTGCCCGAGGGCATCAAAAATGTTGCCTAAAAGCTCAGCGAAACGAACAATCAAGAGCCACGTTAAGTTTAGTCCGGCGACAGTATGAAAGGTTGCCGCCCAGTCAATAGATGTTTGCATTTGTAGCGAGTATGATGGCCTTGATACGAGCAGTATACAGGTTTTTGTTTGCAGCCGATACCCCGATCTTTTAAACGTTCTATCGTCATTTATCTTATTCACCGAGCACAGAAATAATTGTTTTCACGCTGTGTCACGTTATAAAAGATGCTGCGGGATTAGGGCTGCTGCAGAGCATTCATGCCGGAATTTTGGGTAAACCTGGGGCAAAAGACAAACGCAATATTAGTGTACTTCAACGTTCGGCGATAAAACAGATGCAGCCCAACACGAAAACATCGGGTGGCGTAAACAATTGGTAGACACTTCGGCAGTATATTGATATCGCCTTGCAACAAACAGACTGGCGAGATAACACATCATGGTGGACGACATAAGACCAGCTCACAGCAAAAAGCGCACTGGCTACCCCAGCTCGTGACGCGGGGAGTACATCCATACGCGCGTCCCGACTCATTCTGAGAGGCGTCACAAAGGCTGGAATCTAGCCAGAAATGCCGCCGGGGAGCGCGGCCAAAGGATACTTTCAGCGACCTGTAGCTGGACGTGCAGCCCAACCTCGATACTTAGCGGAAGCAAGCATTCATGGTGACCCACTACCGTCACGGCAGGTAGAATGGAACGCACATTTAAACCATACCAAAGGGCATTGCAATCCTACACAACGTGCTCACTTGCGTCACTTTTCCTGCCACCAAAAATCATCCGTCACAATGAACAACTACGAAAACAAAGCCACGACAGAAGTACAGACTTAGACACTGATCACTGCCGCAAGTACAGGTACGTTTGCGGAACGAATCACGGCAACTCATCTCCAAAGAATACGATGCATGACAGCATTTTCTTTGATAAAAACAGCCAATATTTAGCTGACAAAATCAATGCCTAAAAAGATCGGGCCACGGAGATATTCCTATCACGTAAAAATAACAAAGATGAGGGCAATGAAAGGCATAAAGTATCAAACATGCGCATGCCCGCGTGCAAACGCGCGCGCCCATGCGCACACACATGCACACCCTCTGGCCTCCACAACATGGCGCCAGCTGCACCACAGCTCATCCGTTTATTTCGCAGCTGGAGTACAAGCAGGATTATTCGGGCTTGCAGCCGGCTGACACCGCTGTTAACAGGGTTTACAATCTTCTGTGGTTAAAAGCCCGCACAGTGATGCTTTCTATGAACAGCTATCGGTCCGACTTCTCCAGGGCAACAGCGCACGAAAGGCAGCATATTTGTTTAATTATCTGAGATATTCAATATATTTCAGTAAAGCTATCTAATATGCTTGCTTAAATATGAAACGTATTTGTTTAATCCTTTCACTTTTTCCAAAAACTATTCCAGACATTTTCCGTGATTGTACTTCGGTTGAGCGCATTTCCTGAGCAAAACTTGTCAGTACAGCGTTGTCGGTACAGCGATCCAGGCTGCGCCACTTGGCCGCGCACCACGACTTGGCTCGGGACATGGATCGCTCGCGCGGCTGCACGATCAATTCACGGCATACATAGTTTCGAAATATCTGAAGATTACCACTGTCTGTTGTTGACGGACCTCTGCATTACAGGCTTCGTCGACAGCAGGCCGTGTCACAACCACCCGCATAACGAAACGCTCAAACGCTGCCGCCAACCCGATTACACATGTGGATTAGCGTCCGCCTGTATAGAAACACGGCCCGTATTAGTTTAATTCTGTTAGTTCCTATTTCATGTTCTCTGCACACTTGGCTTTCGGTTTAGAGCACTAGCGAAGCAAAGCTTGTTGCGGGTACATTGATCCAGGCACCAAAATTAACCCGTTTCGGCTCATCGGATGGATAACTGCATCGGGCCTTCTACCCGATATGACAACGGGGTAAAAAACCCCGTTGTCATATCGGGTTGTCATATCATATTGCGCGCCGCGCAGTGGCGCAAGACGGCCGTTAGGCTGACAGTCTGAGTCCACCCACCATCTGACTTCTCATTTCATGAAGACCACAGGCCGCGCAGCGCCTGGGATTCGCATCGCGTGCTAATGACGTCACATGACTGAGAATCGTTCCCCAGGATCGCGGTGGCGGCAGGTACCGATCAGACTTCATACATATCCGCACACCTATATAAGCCTAATGGATCCACAAGTCATACCCGTCGCCATACGGCCAGCTCAGCTTTTCAGCGGCCACATCAACAGCCTCAGCAGCCAACGCACAGGTGCACACGCCGGCCAGAATATACCACCCACACACAGACACCGGTCGGGAGGCCGGTACAGAGCCGGCCTGGGCAGCGGCCGCCGACCTGCAGGGCCGGGCTGGTCGTAGTGCGGTCTGTGCCAGGGCCGAGGCGGCTCGTGCTGCCGCCAGCGGCCGCTCGCCGACGGCGGCCGTCACCGCAGCTCGGCCGCCGATTCCGGCACGGACTCCTTCAGCGCCGGTAGCACCTGGGCCATCATGTAGCGCTCCAGCACCACTTGCGCTGCCAGGGCGGACTGGAGTGAGGGCCTGGTCCGTAGGCACCTTTCTTAGAGTCATCGCCGACAGATGGTCCAGCTGTCCCAGAGTCATCACCGACAGACGGTCCAGCTGTCCCAGGGTCATCACCGACAGATGGTCCAGCGGTCCCAGTCATCACTGACAGACGATCCAGCAGTCCCAGTCATCACCAACATGTGATCAAGCGGCTCATGCATCACCGACAGACGACCCACCTGTCCCAAAGTTATCACCAACAGATAGTTCACTTGCTGAGTCATCACCGACAGACGGTACACTTGTTCTCAAGTCATCACCGGCAGACGGTCCAGTCGTCCCAGAGTCATTACCGAAAGCTGGCCCAGCTGTTCAAAGTCAACACCAACGGAAAGTGTCTTGTATCTCGTCTGAGATGAAACGTTTGCATGGTACAACAGTCACCACAATTTCCATTATGAAAGGTTATCCAAAGTGTCGAGTTACGTTATAAGAAGCTGGACATTTCAAAGGCCACCGCAGAGAAATGTGCGGTCAATCCACCAACCACGATTACGGAGTACCAGTCACGACCATTTACGACAGGCATGCGCTGGTTAACTTTAAGTCAGCCTTTTAAGTCCAATGCTGCCCTAAGAAACATTGTACACGCCTGTATGTCCCGTTGCAATAATTTCAGATGAAGACGTGCCTTCCAACCATTCCCTGAAGACCTTTAGGAAGCCAATGGGTGGTGCTAACTAGGCCAGGGTCAGCGCCGCCCAGTGCCGACAATGGTCTCAAAGGAAAATCGGAACACCGACCGCAGCGGTAGCGGTACCGAGAAGTACGCTCGTGCCAGCGGTGCGTGCAGACGCCGCGGCGCAGCTGTGCGCTGTCAGTTCTGGCTCGTTCCTATCCGGACTCGCTCACTATTTTTCTCCGGTTTTTCCCTAGGAAGTGCCTGACCCGTTCCTCAAAACCGTCTAAAAAAAACTTGTCGGATCCTAGATTGTTTTATGCTCTAGATGTTTAGAGGTTTATGTAACGAGATCGTAATAAGGTGGCCAAGAAGTTGAAAACATTGCAACGGCTTGCACAACTCAGCATTGGAGACATTGTAACCAGTGAGTAAAGCCAGCTGAACATGCTAACAGTGGTTAATAACCACCTTGACTACCCTGCTCTAAACTCCAGCAAACCAAGTATGAGCCCTACTTTTCAGGCTTTTACAACCCTTGTGACGCTGCGTGTCCGTTTGACGGGTTCTTATTGAACTGGTCATTCTAACAAGCACGCGGCCACACTGAACCGGTTATTTTGGCCGATTTACTGTTTCCAACCAGGTTTCTCTCTGACAGTTAGCAAATAAGCTGAAGTAACAGCCAATTTCGGGACAAGCTACTTTGACTAGCTACTTTGAGTCCTACCGACCAGTATTGTTCAACTGAGTCACACCGATCTAGTTACTCAGACTCCAAACGTCTTAACCAACTAGCCACTGTGACCGGCCGGGTCTTACCCGTCTGGCTACTCTGGATGGTGCGGTACTAACAGGCTTACTCAAGCGGCATCACCAAGTTGGAAACTCTATACGACAGAATCCTCCTAGCGCTGGCCACTCTGGCTCTTGAAGTCTTCCAGATTTTACAACATCTAGCGGACATTCTCAATCCGCTCACGATAGATTACCGTACTACCGTACTACTTATTCATACTATTCGTACTATATATTATTCATACTATATATTACGTATTCCGTACAACCGTACGCCGCTCTACCGGACGGCGTCTTACCGAGCTGGCTGGCGCGGTTGACGGCAATGGAGAGGGCCGACTCGCCGTTGACGTTGGTGGCCGTGATGTCGGCGCCGCTGAACAGCAGCTCGTGGACCGAGTGTGGGCTGTTGCTGAACGCGGCGAACATCAGCGCCGTGTTGCCGTTCTGAGGGGACGACGGGCCGTGTCACAGCAGGACCGGCGGCCGACGACAACCAAGGCGGAGGCAGTAGCCGGCAGGGCGACACAGCAGGGGCGGTGTCGCAGCACGCACGACAGCTGGCGCGGTGCCACAGCAGAGACGATGACGTGACAGCTGGCACAGCGCCACACCGAAGGCGATGGCGTGACAGCTGGCGCAGTGCCACAGCAGAGGCGATGGCGTGACAACTGGCACAGCGTCGCGCACACAGCACACACAGCAGCCCGCTCACATTCAGCGCACATCTCGACACCCACGTGGTCGGTGCCACGACTACTGCGGTCGCGCACACGGCATCTCTGCTTGCCAGATATTGGAAGGGTTAGAACGGAGCACAGCTGGCCAGTTTTCCCCTGAAATTTTAAAGGGCTAATGACAAGGTCCAAACGGTAGACGTAGGTCCCACAGCAGAGCGAAATACGTCGAACCCAATGTCGACTTTGGCAATCATGTAGTAAATGCACCGAGTGCTCAAACGAGCGCAGCAGCCCGTAATCAACACTACACGCGTAATAAATCCCGGCCACCGTCTTACGTAACGCATCGCGTCGGGGCCCAACCAGCACATTTGAAGAGCACAGCCCAAATATAGCGACATTCCTGGCATTGCTGCTTGGACCGCTGGCGCGGCGCGATCAGCTGTGGGGCCTGCAACTGACCGGCCTTGCGTGCCACAACAGGCGGCAGCCGGGCCGTCACGCCTCGCACCGCGTCCAGGTGGCAACAATGCGTCGCGCCGCAGATAGCATCACAGGCGCTCCGGCCGTCCACTCCCTCGGCCGACGGCAACGGCGGAGCAGCGATCGGATGACAAGGCCAGCGCAACCTGTTTAAAGGGGAGCAGCAGGCTGCGGCGCCGGCGCAGCACCTCGACCACGTCCCGATAAAAACAGCCACAAGACCAGCACGTCACAGAGACACGACCGGCACCGTCTTCGCCGAGCCGTGCGGTCCGCGCAGGCCGGGCGTGAAGCATAGCTCCACCGCTTAACGGGCGTCCAACTTCATCACAGCTGGATAAAGGAGGCATTTGATGCAGTCGGGACAAACCAAACGTTATCCGTCGTTGAGGCGGAGCTTGACGACGCACTAAGCTGCTCAGGCTATGTGGCGTTACCTGCCTCTCACCCTGGCACGAAGGGCGGGCACTGTGGAATAATTTAATCCCGTGCCTCCGGCTTCCCGGATGCACAGCTTGACCACCGTAACCCCACCCCCTCACCCCACAATTACATTGTGCTCATGCTTCCCAGTGACAAGCTAAGAATGCACCTGAGCCGAGCGAAAACCAGCAGCCATCTAGCCGGTGCTAGGGTCCGCATGCCACGGAGGGCGTTTCAGCCGGGTATCACAAACTCAGTGTGCCACTGACCACCCAGAACACCGACGAACTCCTCAGACACCACCGGCGCCGGTGGCGGAGAGCCCGGTGCTCTGCGACAGCCGGCCGTTTGCGCAGTCCCCGGCGCCAGGCGGGCGGGGCTGGCACCGAGCGCACCACAGGACGGCGGACCACTGTCCCAGGCACATCGTGAACAGCGCCACCAGAGATCGCGGGCGCCCCGACTGGGCCGGCACCTCAAAGGCAACCAGAGCTGGGCAGCCCGGCTGGCACGTGCTCCGCGGTCGCCGGTCCGCCGACTGGCGGGCTCGGCAGTCGCCCGTGGGGTAACTTGTCCGTCTCCCGCAGCATAGATGAAGGCTGCCCAGGTAGTCACGTTCTCTCCCCCCCCCCCCCCCTCCCCCCACATCCGCCTCCCCACGCGTGGCGCTGCGGCAGCCCAGACAGGAAAACTTGCCACGTTCCTTGAACACGGCGGGTGCATCTAAAGGTCGGGATAGGAGTTAAAACGGACGAGTGCCTAATCCGATACAACCAAAGCTGAAATGCTCATTGTTATGCAGCACTGCGTCTCTCGGCCCTCGCCTCGAAAACAAATCGATGAAAAAACCCCGACCATCGCCATCGATCCACCTCTTCCCCGCAAAAAGCGGCTGGATCCGCCTCTGTTCGCGCGCAAGCATACATTCCTATGTCATATTGCTGACCTGTTACTACACCGGCAGCCGCGCCAAGATCCATTTTCATAGCTGTCATCAAGTGGGTCACACAAACCCTATATTGATGTATGGCCGCGTGTACCACCCCCCTCGCCATCCACGCACGGGTGCTGAGAACAAGGTGTGTGGACCTGGGAGGCCAATCCCGCGGCAGCTGATCCCTGGTTTGAGAACAATGTGTGAGGTACTGGGAGGCCAATCCCGCGGCAGCTGATCCCTAGTTTGAGAACAATAGGCGAGAACCCGGGAAGCCAATCCTGCGGCAGCTGATCCCTGGTTTGAGAACAATAGGCGAGGACACGGGAGGCCAATCCCGTGGTAGCTAATCCCTGGCCTCGGCGCAGTCACGGTACTTTTGAACGCTGTAATTAACAGCTCGGAAATGTTTGACGCGATTATTGCATCCAAACCGCGTGTTACTAAGTCTACAAGAGGTGGAGCTTTATTAATCGAAGCAAGTGTGAACCGCTGGACCATGCTATTATTTCATAGCAGTTGTACAATAAATGGACGAAGCAGCGACACTTTAACACAAACGTTGAAATTTCGAAGAACAAAAGGACAGTTAAACGAGTGAGACGAGCGTCACACCAGCGAGAACATGATAGACATAATTACTATGACCACGTTAATGATATCTACAACAGAGCCAACCGTGAAAATAAAGACCGCCGCCTTTGGGAATGCACATGGATAGGACTTATAAATGCATTGGAATGCCTTCGTACCATGAACCTTCAAGGTGGAGCTATGTTTATCGTCTGCGCGCTCATTTATAACTCCCAATGCCGTACTACTGGCTTGCTTTGGGCCTACCAAACCCTGACGATTCTAATGGACGATGTGAATAAGCTTGAAACAGCTGACGTTCGTGACGATTGTCGCAAGAGCATTGGCAATAGGTGATAATGCGGCTGGGTATCGGCCAAAGGAAACTGGGCCATGACGCACGCAGTTTTCGTGGCCCCATGTGTCTTGGTTTAGGTCAGGTATGTGTTTAACTACATATGGGACCGGCTTCGGAAGAACTGCGGCTGCTCCCAGGTGTACCACTGACACACTTTTAGCCCAACCGTGTTGCTCGTGTGCGGTATTCCGCTTTCATCAACGTGTTTGTCTGCCTTGATGCTAGCTTTGCCAGCCGCACATTTATCAAACCTTATCTTTGCACAATACGTTCTGGAGCGTTAATTGGACCGCTGATGACTTATATCATGCCAGATGGTTGTCAGCACCTTACAAAAGTGTTAAACAACCCGCGTGATGGGCACCACCACACTGCCACCGAACCTCCGAGCGCCAGGCGACGGGCGGCGGGCGGCGGGCGGCGGGCGGCGGGCGGCGGGCGGCGGGCGGCGGGCGGCAGGCGGCGGGCGGCAGGCGGCGGGCGGCGGGCGGCGGGCGGCGGGCGGCGGGCGGCGGGCGGCGGGCGGTGGACGGCCAGCTCGCTGGGTCTCACCTCGTCCGCGTGGTTGACGTCGGCCCCGGCGTTGATGAGCAAGCGGGCGATCTCGTAGTGTCCGTTACTGGTGGCCATGATGAGCGGGGTCTCGCCGTCCGGGCCCTGGCGGCGCAGGACACGACGGTGTCACGTGACGCCACACGCAGCAGCCCGCAACGCTGTCCCTATCACATGCGCGCCGCCTCACGCAGAGCGTGCTGACCAGCCCACGCACATCCCATCAGTGGAACTGTCCCTCGGAGCCTCCCATCCCGCACTGCAACTCTAGCGCTGTACGCCCGCTTCTTTGTTGCGCGCGGACGATGAGGACGCCATTCAGTGTTGGCGGCTTCCGAGTCAGCAGAGTGCAGCAGAGCGACAGAGGACCCACTGCGCCGAGCGAGCGCTGACAGGCAGAGCGGCCGGGGGCTCACTAGGCCGAGCCGAGCCGCTGAGCCGAGCCGGGCGGTGGCAGGCAGAGCGGCAGAGGGCCCGATGAGCCGAGGGGTGATAAGCGGAGCGGCCGGCAGGAGCGGCTGACTCACCTGACGGGATACGGCGGCGTTCTGCTCCAGCAGCAGCCGGACGGTGGGCACCTGGCCGTACGCGGCCGCCCACATCAGCGAACTGTAGCCGAGCTCGTCTGGCTCATCAACGCCGGCCGCTGCCGGAGGAGAGGCCCGTCAGCCAGGGTCAGATGCGGGGCGGCGGTGCGTCAGACAGTCTCACATGAGGGATGGCAGTCCACCAGCCAGGGTCAGATGAGGGATGGGAGTCCGTCAACCAGGCTCAGATGAGGGACGGCAGTCCGTCAGCCAGGCTCAGATGACGGGCGGCAATCTGTCAGCCAGGCTCAGATGAGGGACGAAAGTCCGCCAGCCAGGCTCGGATGAGGGATGGGGCCAAGCAGGGCTCAAACAAGGAAAAAGCAGGGCTCAAACGGGATTGGCCGGGTCGTCATGCCTGCTTGAGCATGCTCATCAGGACCTAGGGTCAGTGGGAGGACTGCTCATCAGGGTGTGATGTCAGTGGTAGGACTGCTGATCAGGGTGTGATGTCAGTGAAAGGACTGCTGATCAGGGCACAATGTCAGTGGAAGGACTGCTCATCCTGCAGTGATGTCACTTAAGACCAGGGGGTCTGGCAGGGCCCTACCTTCCTGCAGGTCGAGCAGCGAGAGGTCACCCATGCCAGCGCGCTGGTGCAGCGTCAGCTGGCCTGGTTCCACGCTGACCACCTCGGCCTGCACATTGCCCCGTTGCAAGTTTGTCAGGATGGTGGTGGCCGGCTGAAAACGAGCCCGAGCCCAGCATCAGCCAGCTGGTATCTAGCTCTGTTAGTAGTGAAATATGTGACATGGGCTTTACAGAATATTGCTAGAAATGTGAGAAAGCACTGAATCACTCCACTTGTAATGCATATCTGCATTAGGTATCTAAGTCAAGTCTCGACAATACCTTGTATGCCATAAAGGCACTTCGACGTTGTCCTTCCAAATCATTCAGCTTAAACTCTTTTTTGACCCTAACTTCTTCTTTGACCTTAACCCCATCCATGTGGGAGGTCATTTGCTCCAATGACCCAAGGTCAGGAGGCTCATTAGCAGGATCACTCATTGCTTCATCCATTTCTTGAGGCCAGGAACACAGTTTCAATCAAAGGATGAAAACCTGCAAGAGAGATACAGCAATCACAAAACCAGCATAACTACAAAAAAGCTTAACTAGCCTAATTTGGTTTCAAAGCCATTATACATTTTGTATGATTATGGGGCAGAGGCATTGTTGACCCTCATGGCATGTTCAAAGAGGTAGGACAGTGGATTTTTCTGTTACTTAAAAAATTGGAAGAGCATGACACTACCAACGAGCTGTTATCATATGTGAAACTAAGCAGCACCCTGTCTTCATATTGTTTCAAGCAATACATAAACAGTGAAACATGGATACATCATGTGTTTGACAAAAAGGTCCAATAATATGGAAATCCACAGAATTCAGTTGGCATGCTTTTTTCCACAGGATACCCTTTTCTTCATGGGCCAATAATCAAAACTTAAATTTGAATCTGGACCCATAACCAGGTGGGAGAGAGCATTTAACTTAATTTCATAGGCATTGTGGTTAGGACTGAGTTTTATTTATGCACCTCTGCTGGAACCAAACTGGTCATCTCTGTGGCTGAGAGGAGCGAGACTGGTGGACTGGCAGTTCATTTGCCCTGCTAGCATGTCAGTCAGCTGGCAACTGGCCACAGCTTCTGCTGCTGCTGCCTCACCACAGTCTAACATAGAGGCCAAATTGTCCCACAACCTGGAATAATGCTGATTGTAGCAGAATCAGGGAATAAGGAGTAAACTGTGCAACACACATCCTTGCCTAATTAAGTGCACAAAAGCATCAAAATGGCCTAAGCAACCAATGCACTGGTAACAGATATTTGGGCTTGCCTACTGATTGGTAGAAAAACAGTCAGACACTTTTATACATTATGGGAAAATTCCAAAACATGCTAAAAACTGTTAATATCTTGTTTGACACTTACCACACATACTTAAAACTGACAGCACGAACCATCATCTGAATTCCTACTTATAGAAATGAGCTCAGAGCACAAATAAAACAAAATAAAGGAATGCTAGTAACTGTATGAACTCTGGCAAAACCTGTAAGATTAGCACTGAACCATTTGGAACCATGCACATATATTTCCATAATAAGCCACACAATACCACTAAGATAGTGTTAGATGCAATAAGATAATATTGCCATAAAGGCAGACATTTCCTGAATCAGTTCTGCAACTAACACCATTCACTTACAGGGGTAAATGCCAAACAATAAATCCATCCAATGCTGATACCATCCAATGATGCTTCCTTACATGCACCATAGTCTTAAACTATCATTTACCTTTCCAAAAACTCCTATTTCCTCATCATTTTGGACTTAATAAGGGGGAGAGGGCATGACTGAGCTTTGATGTTTGTTTGGAGAGGGATACTTCACATGGTGGCACCACAGCATTGCAGCTCCACTTGAGCTAACCAAACCTGATGAATCAGAAAAAAAACTGTCTTTAAGGCCAGATGATTGCACCACCATGAAACCAAAATGGGTTGCAATGTAAGCTCTTCAAAACTAGGTAGGTAGCATGCATAGTTCTAAATATGCCTGCATATGCATGACCAAGACTGCCCTATCAATTGTGCTACAAATATCTGTTACAAACCATGGTGCCCCATCCCAATATTATGAAGCATATAACAACAACACACCAATTTAAGAGTTATTTTTCAAGCTTTCCAAGAGCAATTTTACCCAATTTGCTTGCTTTTCCCTTGAACTAATTTTACTAACTTGTGCACCTGACAGGGGGCTAGATAACAACTGATGGCCTGGTCCACAGCTTGGACATTCAAGCACTCCAGCAACAGAGCCATACAACCCTTACATTCACATCACATACAAGGCATTCTTGAAACAGTCGGCTATCCTGAAGCAAGATAAAACACATACGGTCCCATGAGACCGTTATGTTTGCCATCGCATCTCAACATAACAAATTACGATCCACTCCATGCATATCATGGTTGCTGCGGGCCTGTCCTTCTCGGTCACACCCACGGTTCTACCAGGTCCGTGCCATTAGTACTCGCCCGAGACCCTACAACAGAACACTGGCCGATGCAGTGTCTATGATCAAGGCGATTTCATTGAGATGTAAATATCAATACCAATGTTGTGTGTCAATGTCGACTGTCAAAGAAATGTCGCAAATGCGCAACGCGGAGGGAAATATGGTAACGGCAGCGGGATAATCTTTCAAAGAATACTTTTACCTTTGCAATCAGAAATTCACGATGCAATTCATCATAAGAACTCTAAGCATTGCATGGTCTCAGGCATTGGTTAGTTATAAATAGTAGATACTGATTCCTTCGTTTTTTCCTGGTAAAGTTTGTCTATTCTGAAACATATCGCCAACTATCTCCACTCTTCTCTACGCACTTGATGTTCGCGAATACCATTTTGGGACAGATAAACCGCAGCAACTACAAGGTATGGCGCACTACTGGATCGCGGACATTCGATGTTGATATTTCGTGCACTGTGTAGGGGATGTGTTCAAAGACCTTGAGTATGTCGGCGCACGCCGTAGCCTCGGGGTTTATACGGTGTTGGAGTGGTGGGATCCGTAGAAACATATTTTGTCTATGTAGACCTCCAGCTTAACGAGTGACGTAACAGGAACCCGGCGTTAGTCATCTTTGCGTCGTGCAGATGCATGAAATGACCGCTTGGCCACGAAACAATATGATTGCGTACCATAATGGGGTTGTGCTATTCCGTCTGAAAGAAATACATTGAATCTCTCATTATTGATTATGCTTTTTGAAGTAATAAATTTAAGGGGCAATAAATGTAATTGTGAATCTGTTGTATCATGATGTCCATTTATGCTTGGTTATCAGGACAGTTTGGCGGGAAGATTCTCATATATGTATAGTCATACTTTCATTTTGATCCAATACAACTTAAGTTCTGTTCTCTTTTTTAGCCACAGTATGATGAAATTATATGATATCAAAATGTCACTTAAATTACATTTTGTAATGTGCCATGGTCGGTGAATGCGTCATTTTAATTTAGCATGGCATGGTCACAAATTGAGTGTCTGGCAGGCACAGAAAATATAGACAAGATATTATCAACATTCAAAATAGGATAATTGTGATATGTTGCCAATTACTTGTGCATGCTTATAGATAATGTTATGCATCAAGGTCAGACAGTCACAAAAGATGAAGGTGGTACTTGATTAGTAATTTTTAGGAAACATAGGTGGTCAATCTATGAATTAATGCTACGTCTTGTGAAATGAATCCACCAGTTTCTTCAGAGGTGTACTCATAGTGTAGTGGCTACCACTTGTGTCTGGGAAAGGGAGGTATTGGGAAATATGGCCTTAGATGCTGAGTGTGTCATAAAGCCCCAATGGTGGCAATAGTGATGGCTTCCTCACTCCTCAGAAGTTGAAATTATGGCTTGTGTTGTCTGCTTAGTGCACATAGTTTCATGTTTCCAGTGCACTGCTGCGCCCAAACACCGTGAGCATGAATCTTATATTTGACATACACCCATAAAACAGGCGAATTGCCAGCCATTGCCATTTAGCTGGCAATCAATTTAATGGCAATTTAGCTAATTGCCATGTAGCTGGCAGTCACCAGTTGAATTGCCAGCTAAAACAGTGTGACATGTGTTGTGGATGTTTCCAGCTGAGGATGGCTACTAAGCTTCTGCAGGCGTGCTTGCGGTGCTCGCGTCAGCATGCCCATCGCCAGCTGTGCCGTTCGGCCTGGCCGCTGGCTGTGCGTGGGCGGGGTGGTGCACTGCTGGCGGGTGGCCGGAGCCGGCCAGCTTCAGCCGTCTTTTGCGGCGGCGGCCGGCGCTGGCTGAGTTCGGAGCCGCCGCCCGAGGAGGAGCCGCCGTCCGACGGCGACGGCCCGCCGGCACAGGCGGCCAGCTTCCACCACCTGCCTGCCGCCATGACTGTGCCTGAAGTGTGGCCCAATGTGCCTGTCATTGCCATCAACCGCAACCCCGTCTTTCCACGCTTCATCAAGATTGTGGAGGTGAGAGAACAGCAAATTGTAGCGAGCACTTCCCATTGTCACATTGTTGTGGAGAGCTAAGATGGAGCTTGTGGAAATGTCACTCTGTTTTGTGCATTGGTTGGAAGTGAAATGAGATAACAAAATGCCATGGCCATTAGATGCCTTGTCAAAAGCTGAAACATTACCTAAGCATGAGCAAATTATGTTAATGCTGTCCTCATTTTTTTCTGTTCCAGATAACAAATAAACCACTGATGGATTTGATTAGGAGGAAAGTGAAGCTGAACCAGCCTTACGCGGGTATTTTCTTGAAAAAGACTGAAGGGTGAGTTCTCGTTGTGACTGGCCAAGCAGTGCCAGTACTATCTGATATTTGTCCACTCAACATTATAATCAGGTGCCAATCCAGCCTTCGTCCGGGCCTGCGCGATGCGCAGAGCTGGGTGCACCCCGTATGCCGCCGCGCACTTGCAACTGCCCGCTCGCTGCTCCGTTGCTGGCTCGCCTGACCTGCCGCCTGGACCTCGCCAGTGACGACGAGGTGGTGTCGCGCCTCTCCGACATCCACGCGGTCGGCACGTTCGTGCAGATCCACGAGCTGCAGGATCTGGGCGACAAGCTGCGCATGATCGTGATGGCGCACCGGCGCATCCGCGCCGTGCGCCAGCTGCCGGAAGACGCCGACGCCGGTGTCGAGACGCCGCCCGTCAACGACAACAGTGAGCCGACGACAGTCCATGTCCATCGACACGCAGACGGCCGGCGAAGGTCTGCCCGCTCGCGATTAAAGTTGTGGGGTCGTACCAACGTGATCATGGCGTGCGCCCCGCAGTGGTAATGGGGTCGCGATGGCCTCCGCGCCAGTCTCTCACATTTGGTGGTAGTGACAAGCGAAACATGCAGAATCTATTGTCAGTGACGTGAAATGACGCCTCCATTCATTGTCTGCAGTTTTGAGGTGCTGACCTGCTGTGGCTGTGCCGGCCCGTGCTGCTGGGCCACCCCCTGCCGCTGTGTCGCCACCTACCGCTGTACCGTCCCCTGCCACTGTGCGGCTCCCTGCTGCTGTGTCGCTGTGCCGGCTCGTGCCACTATACCGCCCGTGCCGCTGTGCCGCCCCCTACCGTTGTGCCGGCCCCTGCCGCTATGTGGGTCCTGCGGTAAGCTCCGGCCCCGTCTCGGCAGTGCTGAAGCTGAACTTCCCGGCGTTCCGGACATCCGTCAGCTCGCCGGTGGAGGAGGCGGAGCCTGGCAGCGCGCTCCAGCGGCGTCGTCGGCGCCGCCGGTCGGCCGAGCCGGCCGAGCAGACCGAGTCAGCAGAGCCGTCCGAGCCGTCCCAGCCGGCCGGGCTGTCCGAGCCGGCCGAGCCCGCAGAAGGCGTGGCCGAGCGGCCGGCCGCCCCGCTGGGCGAGCTGCTCATGATTGAGGTGGAGAACGTCACCCACGAGAAGTTTGAGCACACTGAGGAGGTCAAGGTGCGTTGGCGCGGCGGTCTTTCACCAGCCCCAGGCGGAAGACCAGTGTGCATGCCGATCGCGACCACTGTTTGGTTGCATTCCGCTTGCTTGCCATGTGTTCGATCCCTTGGTGGATATCGAGGCTAGCAAGTCACGCGACCAGTTTGACACCAAGTGTTCGGTGTTGTTCTGGCGTGTGCGGTTGCAAACGATTTATGACAGACGGGAAACACTTGTGCACGGCACCTCGCGTATCGTTCGGACGCCACCGGAAGGGGACGAACGCCTCACACTATCGCCTAGCGGCTGTCGCCATCCCTGCCTTCAACGCCGGTGCGAGACGTCACGGCGACGCGTCGTCCGTTTCCCAGGCGCTGACGCAAGAGATCGTGAAGACCGTGCGCGACATCATCGCGCTGAACCCGCTGTACCGCGAGAGCGTGCAGCAGATGGTGGCGCAGGGACAGCGGGTGGTCGACAACCCCGTCTACCTGAGCGACCTGGGCGCTGCGCTCACCGCCAGCGAGCCGGACGAGGTGCAGCGCGCGCTCGAGGAGACCAATGTGAGTCTCATGGCGCGCGTGGAGCGGGAGCGGGTGTGTGCGACGTACGCGGCGCGCGTGGACCGGGAGCGAGTGTGTACGGCGTGCACGACGCGCGTAGACCGGGAGCGGGCGTGTACGGCGTACGCGGCGCGCGTGGACCGGGAGCGGGTGTGTACGGCGTACGCTGCACGCGCGCGACGGGAAGGGATACGGCGATAGGTGTGGTCATAACTTGGTGGGACGGGGCTGGCTTGGTCCACATGTCTGGAATCGACAGTGGAATGCATCGATGCGACATCGCGGAAGACACGAAATAACACGAGATTCGCTATGGTTTGGGTGAGATGGAGTGACAGCTGTTGAATGTGACGAAGCTGCCGGTGTACGTGAGCTGGGTTCTGGTTCGGTGGACTGGCGGGACGTCAGTTCGCCCTGCGCAGGATTCTGCGTCCACTTCGGAGCATCCCCGATGGCGTTGAACATTTGCAGCGCCGTAGTTCCGGCTACCTCTGCCCTCCAATCACACTGTCGTCTGTCGTCCGTCTCACCCTGGTTCCACATGAAGTTCGACGCGCAGTGACTGGATGGCACGCTTAGCATGACTTGGTATGGATGGCAAACTAACCGTCGTATTCCCGCGAGCGGAGCGACCTCGGTCACGGCACATGTCTCCGCACACTGGCGCTGCAGCTGCAGCTGCGGCTGCGGCTGCGGCTGCGGCTGCGGCTGCGGCTGCGGCTGCGGCTGCGGCTGCGGCTGCGGCTGCGGCTGCGGCTGACCGACCGTCACCATCAGTCTGACCCATTGTGATCGTGCGGCGGGCAGATCCCGAAGCGGCTGATGCTGGCCCTCTCGATGCTGAAGAAGGAGTACGAGCTGAGCAAACTGCAGCAGAAGATCGGACGCGAGGTGGAGGAGAAGGTCAAGACGCAGCACCGGAAGTTCATGCTCAACGAGCAGCTGAAGGTGGGCCCGCCGCCGGCCGGCCGGTGACGGATCGACCAGCTCTAGTCGGCAGCAGCTGGGCACTGGGCTTTGGGTCTACAGTTGCGACGATTCGTTTTAGGCGCAATGATCGCTACGATACTCTGTTAAAAATTCCCCCCGCAACTTCCAAAAGCCGAGGCTTAGCGTTCCCAACGGTAAATTGGTAGTTTTGTCTCATTCTGTCCAAGCTGGACGATTGTATGGTGCTTTGTTACTGTGGTTTTACAGTCGTTGATAAAACTTACCATGCATTGTGGAGGAGCTTAAGTCCATTTGTCTTATCTTGTGTGCGGCTTATTGACATTGTGTACAAGGAATCAGATACAGCTCGATTTCGGGGCTCAAGGGACCATTGCAAAGGAAAGGAACTGCTTCATGCCGCGACATGTGATCCCAACATGACATGCTCATGTGCACATGTGTTCAATGCGTGTGCTCGAAACTGGGGTGCCATCCAGCGCTACTGCATTGTTTTCTTCAGTTCTGTTCATGCTTGAGATGGAGAGGGTTGACACCCCTCCACCTTCACTCCCCCTCCCCCTCCCTATCTCCACCTCCCGTCTGGTTGAAGTTGACGTGACTGGCTGTCAGTGCCAGGGCTCGTGCACATACCGGGCACCTTTGGGCGTCATCCACTTGCTGTATTGGAAGCTTGCTCCAATTAGTAAATGCTAGAGATCAGGCAAATGGCCATGACGGTATATCGTTGACTTAACATTTGAGGCTGTCCCACTGTCGAAATGAAATATTCGTGCCAGCAGGCGTGGACGAAATTAGCCGAAGTGCACATTACTAATATATTTTATGTTGGCTATGAGTTATGCTCAGTTTAGTCTTCTAAGCTTTAAGAAGAGCACCACCAGCATGGGCGTCCAGACCAGCAGCACATTGCGCTACAATGCATGTACTGGTAGCGAATGCCAGAATTTCGGGTTTTCATGCTCAAATCTCGATACGATAGCTGAGTCACTTTTGGGTTGTGAAATTCAAGGTTGAATATTTATGAATGTTTGTCACTGGCAAGCTCCTGATAAGCTTCAAGGGATACTACGTATTCGTCTTGTCGAACATGATTATCATCTTTGACATTTTTTACAGGTAATAAAGAAGGAGTTGGGTTTGGAAAAGGATGACAAGCAGGCAATCGAGGAGAAGTTCCGGGAACGTATTAAGGTAAAACATGTGCTGCTTTCCTTATTATGGCATGCTGCTCTTACATTTTCGTATTTGGATAGTCTGATGAATATAATTGATTTTTACAACACGTTTTTACAACCAACAGAGTGGCGGTGTCTCGCAGAGTACCTACAACAGAAATGAGCTGCAAAAGTGTCCCATGTTTGCCCTGTCACGCCTTGAACAGACAACTTCACTTTGTTTGAATGTTGGTCCCGATCTCGAACGCATCGAACATCCGACATGGACTCGCGAAGCAGAAGTACATCCTCCAGCGGTGTTTCGGCTGTGCATTACCCTTGGTGTAGATGGGTATGACAGCATTTCGTTAGCTGCACTGATGACGGCTGGTTCGCAGGACAAACAGGTTCCGCCTGCCGTCATGGAGGTGATTGAGGAGGAGCTTAGCAAGCTGGGATTCCTCGACAATCATTCGATGGAGTTCAAGTGAGTGTGCTTTGCGTCGGACAATGACGCAGCACCGTCCCTGGCAGTGCTGCTGCACGTACGAAGCGAAGTGGCAGGCTCTGCAGCTGTTGCCGGCGCTGTCCTGCTGGTTTCAACATCGTGGTCCGAAGTGTGTTGTACCGGGAGGTGTGCGCGCTGCCTCGGCAGCTGCTCTCCATTACGGACGGCGATGTCTTGGTGGTCAATCATCAGTATTGGTGGGTCACACTGCGCCGACCTGGCGTGCGGCGCTGTGGCGCGGACATTGACGCTGATACCAACACTGACACCACGTCTCGGTGTCGGCAGTGTGACACGGAACTACCTGGACTGGCTGACGTGGCTGCCGTACGGCACGCACAGCGAGGAGCGACTCGACCTCGACCAAGCGTCGGAGATCCTCGACCAGGACCACTATGGCATGGAGGACGTCAAAAAGCGCATACTAGGTCACTGCGACGGATTCTTGACTTCGCCGTTTGCAACACTGTGGATAGGTTCTTCTGTTTCAGTGGCGTTACATGTACACATGTGTTATTCTTTCTTTGCGCTAGAACTTTGTGTAATCGTGGGGAACCGATCCATGACATTTCTTCAAGATGGCCTTTGTTTGTGGCGGGTCGTGCTGCTGTTCCATTCAGTGGCTGTGTAACGGTCGTGTTAGCTCCATTCAGTGTTGTGTATCACTATTGCGCCGGTGTGTTCGCAACACGGCGCGGCGGTGTGATGTCGCCATGTCGCGTTTGCAGAGTTCATAGCGGTCAGTAAACTGAAGGGCGGCACGCAGGGCAAGATCCTGTGCTTTCACGGACCACCGGGCGTTGGCAAGACCAGCATCGCCCGCTCCATCGCACGCGCGCTGAACCGACAGTACTTCCGGTTCAGCGTGGGCGGCATGTACGACGTGGCCGAGATCAAAGGCCACCGCAGGTGAGGCTGGCCCGGACGCCGGGCCGCGTGGACGGCCGGACGTGCGTCAGCTTCTCCGGCGGACATTGCCGGACAGCTGGCTCGTGCGCCGCCCCAGGCCACGGCCGGGCGCCGGGCTGGTTTCTTTTGCCGTGTTTGTCTCCTGTCGGAAAGCGCGTGAGTGTTCGTTGCCAAGGCTGTATTCGACGTTTGCTGCATGCTGTCTTGGAAGACACATTTTCACGCGCCATCATTGCTCGCTTCCCGCGGTCGCAATATGTGGCTTGGCCAGGCTGGCATTGGTAGGAGTCTGTACATAAGGTACCGCTGACACGCGACTCCCGACCCGACCATGCTACTGCTGATGTATGGAAATTGGGCGCCTGCGACAACTCAAGCGCGTGTGCCCAGGACGTACGTGGGCGCAATGCCAGGCAAGATGATCCAGTGCCTGAAAAAGGTGAAGACAGAGAACCCGCTGGTGCTGATTGACGAGGTAGACAAGATCGGCAGGTGAGTCTCGATCTCCCGCCGGCAAAATATCGGCAGGTGAGTCCCGGTCTCCCGCCCGCAAAAGATCCCCGCCGTACGGCGCGCGAGCCGACGCACGGCTTCAGGCACCACTTGATGCCCGGCTTCCAGCTTATTCGTGGGAGCCTCCAGGAATTGTAAGTGTTTAGTCTTAGTGTAGTTTGGATGTTAAATAAAATCGCGAATCAACCCGCTGGAGCCACGCCCTTTTGCCAGTAGGGTAGTTGAAGAGGTCGTTTCCAAAGAAATTCTACGATGCTCTTCCACGCACACGTGTGGGAGCGCCTACAGCTCGGAGTAATGCCCACTGCCTGCGGTCTGTGGGCTCCCGGCGTGCCGGATGTGACCAGAAGCGCCACTACGGAGACGTGTGGGAGCGCCTACAGCTCATAGGAGTGCCGACTGTCTGTGGTCTGTGGGTTCCCGGCGTGCCGAGTGTGACCAGAGGCGCCACGGCTCGGGTGGCCGACGGCCGACACCGGTCTGCCGTCTCTGCCACCAGGGGCTTTCAGGGGGACCCGACATCGGCCCTACTCGAGCTGCTTGACCCCGAGCAAAATGCCAACTTCCTGGACCACTACCTGGACGTGTCCGTCGACCTGTCCAAGGTACGCGGGTGGAGGCGCGTGCCGCGTGCGGGTGGACGCCAGCCTGTTAGCGGGATTGTCGGCTCCATCACAGATAGCACCATGACATTTTGTTCACCGGTCTTTCGTGTTTCCCGTAGTCATTGGTGTGCTTGCGCTGAAATATGTGTCGCGTTTTTAGCGCTTCTCGGGGTGGGCGTCTGTGACGGTTTTTGCGGTAAGGGTCTTGTTATTTGCTGATGTTATTTGGGATGAGGAGTACATCGACAGCGGCAGCCATGTTGTGCCCATTAGTCGCTTAGAGACACTTACCGCGCCCATTTTGCGCGGTAAGTGGATGTGACAGTTTTGGCGGTAAATGTGTAAGTGTCTCCCACCTTTTCTGTTGCATTCTTTTGTATGTACAGTTTGGAGGACGTGACCTCTTGGCCATGTGCGCCCGTCGCAGTGCTCTATTTGTACGCTCCCGCTAACGTCCCCCCCCCCTCCGCGGCCGAGGAAGTGTTATTTATCTGCACGCTCCCGCTGACGTTCCCCCCACCCCTCCCGCGCCCGCGGTCGAACAGGTGCTGTTCATCTGCACGGCCAACGTGATCGACACGATTCCGGACCCGCTGCGCGACCGCATGGAGCTGATCGAGGTGTCCGGCTACGTGGCTGAGGAGAAGCTCAACATCGCCAAACAGTATATCATACCGCAGGTGGGTCTGGCGGGGTAGGCCGACGTCCCCATAGTTTCGACCCACGTACGCTAACCTGGTGCTGCCTGCTCCGAACCTCTCGCGTGGCTGCTTTGGTATCGATCACCCCTTGCGGAGCGCGGCTGGTGTATCAGTGGTTTGCGTGTGGTTTGTATCAGTACACTGCGTGGCCTTCTCCTCGTCGCTAGCTCTCGTTACACTCTTTGCAATGTTAGCTCTATATATGCACAGCTCTGGTCCAGAAATAATTGCTGACAGCCTTAGTGTTTCTACCAATCGACAGGCTTCTATTCAGGCATGTGCCTGCATTCCAAGGGTGGATCCAGGATCCTAAACGGTTCCACGCTTATGGGATGCTGTGTCCTTTGCGGACTCCAGGCACATGGTTGTCTCTACTAGTCATGCAACTCAGTTGTGTGCTTGCTGCGCGCCCATTTCCATCAATGTCCACTAGCCAGAGCGGTTCACGTTGATGTGCTTTTCAAGCCCCGTGCCTGACATCCAGCGGGTGTGCCGTCTGTCAATACATGCTTCCGGGCTGCACTTCATGATCTTGGTAGCGCCATATGCCGGCACGCGACAAACAACGAGCGTTCGAGTGCCGCAGGCGCGTGGTGTATGCATCTGCGGTGATGCAGTGTGGCTGCGGTGATGCGATGTCTATGGCGATGCAGCCCGTGTGCCGTGATGCAGTGTGTCTGCGGTGATGTGGTGTCTGCGGCCACACAGCCTGTGTGCCGTGACGCAGGGTGTCTGCGGCGTGCCCCCAGGCGCGGACCGACACTGGGGTGAAGGCTGAGCTGGTGGACATCACAGACGGCGCGCTGGGCACGCTGATTCGCTCCTACTGCCGCGAGTCGGGCGTCCGCAACCTGCAGAAGCAGATCGAGAAGGTGTGCAGCAGGGCTTGTCCGGCGCCCCCCCCCCCCCCCCCCCCCTCCCCGGCCAGGGAGCCGCTGGTCACGGCCGGTCAGCCAGCCGCCGGTTAGAGACGACAGGGATGTGATACACAGCATGAGGGGCTCGTGGACGGTCCACGGGGTAGACATGGTGGGGGACGATCGGGTAGATGGTGTTTTGCATGAGCTTTGCGGATCATTGCTATAGAGCTGCCACCTTGGAAAATATTGTTTTGTCTTTTTCTGAGGGTTATGCCCGTTAAAAGTAACGGGTGTCCTAGGTCAATGATCGTAGATCTAGATCGCCGCCTGTGCGTTACGTACCTCCCATGCAATGTTCGTGCTTTAACTGTACTCCGGGCATAGATCCCGGCTGTGCCCGAATGTTCGAGCCCACGCGTCCACCCAGCAGCCTTTTGGGCTCGCCTCCCTGCGTGTCCCGCTAAGGTGTGCCGATGCTCCAGATCATGCGGAAGTCGGCGTTCAAGCTGGTGAAGGAGAGCCCGGACCAGCTGACTGTGGACACCGCCAGCCTCCCCGACTTTGTCGGCAAGCCTCTGTTCGCCAGCGACCGCATGTACGACGAGACTCCCCCCGGCGTGGTGTGTGGACTCGCCTGGACTGCCATGGGCGGCTCGACGCTCTACATCGAATCGTCGAGCGTGGGCGAGTCCAAACGCGGCTCGATCGAGGCCACCGGCCGACTGGGTGAGGTGATGAAGGAGAGTGTCCAAATCGCGCACAGCTACGCCAAGAAGCTGCTGCAGGAGCTGGAGCCGGACAACGACTTCCTGGAGCGGACCAGAGTCCATCTCCACATTCCCGAGGTAAGGTCGGGTAACGACGTGGCCGCCAGGCAGCGCAAAGGCCTTGCGTTATTCAGACCGGGCAAAGGGTTGTGCGTCGGCAATAATAGCATTGAAAGATTAATAGATATTAATTACTGACGTGGCTAGCATTGTGCCACGGACAAAGATGCGTGCTCGAAGAGTCGCCACTCAGGCAGCGAGTGTTGATCACCGCCCCATCCATTTCCACTTGCATAATATTGGCGAGAAACCGAAGAATGTGTTCATACTTGTTCCGCCCAATCTCCTGTGACATCCCAGTTCCGACCCTGCTCGTGACCCTCACCCCCGCCCCCTGACGCCGTCCCGCCCGGTGTCGTGCGGTGTATCAGAAGCGTGTGTGCGGTGTGCGGTGTGCCATGGTGCGGGCTGCGCGGTGCGTCTGTGTGGCGGCTGAGCGAGGCGCGCCGCCGCAGGGCGCCACGCCCAAGGACGGACCGAGTGCGGGCTGCACACTGGTGACGGCCCTACTGTCGCTGGCGCGCGGCCGCCCGGTGCGGCCCGACCTGGCCATGACCGGCGAGCTCTCGCTCACCGGCAAGATCCTGCCCGTCGGCGGCATCAAGGAGAAGACGATCGCTGTGAGTGGCAACCGACGACGGCGGCGCCCCTGTCGTCCGTACTGAGATAGGCCGCTTCTCCGCTGAGATGGAGCCCGGCGGGAGCCGCGGGGGGGCGGTCGCCCTGCCGGGAAGTGCATGGCTCGCGGAGTTGGCCGGCGCACGTCCGGATTTGTGTGACCAGTGAAACATTGAGGCAATACGAAACGGTGGCATGTTTGCACATCGGACGCATCAAACGGAGACTGATAGCGTCCATAATCGGTTAGGTTCCAGATAACAAAAATTAATCGATTGCCCTACCCAGCGACCTAGCCATGTCGCCTATATCCCATTATACATAGGTACTTATCATACGCCGTCCAGTACCACGTTGGCTCCGCCTTCTGCCAACTGCCATACTGCTGCTACTGTCATGAGTCCGGTCTCATTTTGCGTTTGATACCTGTGAATAAACTGCGCCCCTTGTGCACAGGCGAAACGAGCCGGCATAAAGGCCATCAGTTTGCCGGAGGAGAACCGGAAGGACTTCGACGACCTACCCGGCTTCATCAAGGAGGGCGTTGAGGTGCACTTCGTGAAGCATTACACCGACATCCTTCCCATCGCCTTCCCAAGCTAGACTGGCGCCCGGTCCCGGACCTCCGCGGGCAGCGGACACTGGTTCAGCTAGTACTGCCGTCACGCCGCCGTCGCGTCCGCGCGGTGCTGTGACGCCGCCGTTCGACGGCGGCGTCCAGCGCGTGTGGTGACGGGGGACGCTCGGTCACGCGTCAGCTGTCGTGAGCTGGCGGGCTGGCCGCCGTCAAGAATACCGCCGCCGCTGGAGACGCGCTGCCGGTGGCCTCGGGTGGTGGGTCGGGACGGGCCGGTCGCGCCGTGGCCCGCTCTCCGCCCACGGTTACGTATTCCAGCATGCTGGCTGGACTCCCACGCCGGGCTATGTTGCAAAGCGCGAGGACATATTGTTTACGTGTTATCGTACGTTTCTGAAGCGCTGCGCGGCGTCGGTGACACAATGGGGCAGCGGGCAACAGGGGAGCAGCTGGGGACTGGCGCCGCCCGGGTACTCGCCGAATCTCGCCGGCGCGCTGGCCCCATCGGACCGTGGGACGCCGCTCGGTCGGAGCTGTCACGGGCGCCGCTCGCTCAGGATCACGCTTCGAGTTCTCATCGCGCTGTGATCCCAGTTACGACACCGATTTCCTGTATGTTGCCAATACACCCCGGTACTGGCATCGAGCTCGTGGTGTCTTGGGTGCATTTTCCAGAGTGTTGGTTCGTCTCTTGCCGCGGCGACTGAATGTAAAAGTGATGTCTAGACAAGTTGGTATATCTGTCACGGTGACGTGCCTCAAATACGACAGGCCCAAACAGTTGGCTTTTCTAGGTGCGCGGACGTGTATTCCCGCAGTACATGTTCTGGACTGCCGAAACTCGTTAACACACAACCAGCTTGAGATGACGATGATGATCAGGTCATTTAGTTTGTCATTCGTCGCGTGAGTGACATTTCAAAAAGTACGCCCGTAATATGGCTCAACATCGACAAAAACTCGTTTCCGAGGCGCGCGTGCAGCGCACCACAGCACTACAACACTTCCCATAAAACAGGGCCGGACCTGTCTGGCTGGAAACGTCGGTAGACAGACGCGAGGCGCCTCGGCCCCTCAGCGGCGGTATCGGTAGCGTTTGAAGTGGAACCACAGCTGGAATATGTTGTTGTGGAACTGGCAGCGGAAGCCGCGGCGGTACGAGTACTCCCACTCCCGGTTCACGATCTTGAAGGCGATGTCCTCGTACGGAGGGCCCACGTGGAAGCGCAGAATGGCGAAGTCCTTGTTGTCGGAGCACACGGTCTGAAATCCAGACGCGTTTCTCAAGTGACGTCTGACCGTAGGTTATGTCATGTTAACACAGGGCCCGCGGAAGCATGAAATACATGGGCAGAGCGGCGTCATAAACCTGGTCGCAAATACATGTAGCTACTTGGTTAGCTTCACCAGTGTCTGTGGTTTCATCGCTGAGGCGATCCGGGTAGCAGCACACAAACATCCGACAGCCCAGTTGGCAGCACGCAAACACCCGACAGCTCGGGTGGCAGCACACAAACATCCGACAGCCCAGTTGGCAGCACGCAAACACCCGACAGCTCGGGTAGCGGCACACAAACACCCGACAAACCGGGCGGCAGCACACGAACACACATTGCCGTGACTGGCACGGGGAACGCGCTGCATGGGGAGCCACCCAACTTTCCCGTGCCTTCTTTACTTTCCGATGGTCTTTTCACTGTACGGTAAGAAATGGAGCCATAGGGTGGCGGAAAAACAGCGATAAGACACCCGAACCCTCATATAAACTTAAACCTGCACTGTCAACCCGAATAGGTCCAGGGCTTCACTGCAGAAGAAGAAACACCAAAACAACCCCCACTCACACATTAGCAACATCCAATACGCACATACCAGTGTGTATTCCGGCGTTTTGCTCTTGTCGATCAGATCCGGGTAGAATATGTTGAACTTGTAACCTTGCACGATCTTCGGAGGAGGGTTGTCCATGTCGTAATGCGTCTGGTTGTACTTGTTCCACTCAAAGCCCGTATGCACTCTGGGAAATAGCATGCAGGTTGGGGCCGCAGTCGCCAGGCGCCCTGTCTCGCTGCGGGACTAATGGGCTAACGCATGGAAATTGTGGCAGCGCGCCTCCGTCACATGAAAATCCATAAGAAAACATCGCTACAATTTGTACCCCACGATAAAATTTATATATATATATATATATATATATATATATACCATGCCATATATGCATACCATATATACAATTAATGCATGTGACAATCTTTGCTCGCCAGCAAACGCGTGAAAGTGCGATTACGTTCATTTAAGTAAACTGTAGCTAGTACCCTCCTTGTCAGGTAGCGAGACTTGTTTGGGCCGAACAGGGCGGCTCCACTGATATTTAAAGATTGCTTAACCTACTGAGTCGGTACAGGGGAGCCTGACTGACCTGTTGAAGTAGCGGGGCTTTCTGGGCCGGTACTTGTCCGACCAGAGATGAGTCTGCTGGCCAAGGTCAGTCTCCACGGAGAAGCGCGCCTCGTCGGAGCCCATTCCTTTCTTGGCCTCCTGCTGCAGAGCCTTCTCCTCGGCTGTGGCCGCCGACTGCCGGGCACGAGGGTCAGGTCAGCCCGTCACGAGGGTCGGGTCAGCCCGCCACGAGGATTGGGTTAGCCGGTCACGAGGGCCAGGTCAGACGGTCACGAGGGTCGGGTCAGCCCGTTACGACGACTGGTTCAGTCGGTCACGGGGGTCGGGTCAGCCCGTCACGAGGGTTGGGTCAGCCCGTCACGGAGGTCGGGTCAGCCCGTCACGGAGGTCGGGTCAGCCCGTCACGGAGGTCGGGTCAGCCCGCCACGAGGATTGGGTTAGCCGGTCACGAGGGTCAGGTCAGACGGTCACGAGGGTCAGGTCAGACGGTCACGAGGGTCGGGTCAGCCCGTCACGGAGGTCGGGTCAGCCCGTCACGAGGGTCGGGTCAGCCCGTCACGGAGGTCGGGTCAGCCCGTCACGGAGGTCGGGTCGGCCCGTCACGGAGGTCGGGTCGGCCCGTCACGGGGGTCGGGTCAGCCCGTCACGAGGATTGGGCTAGCCGATCACGAGGGTCAGGTCAGCCCGTCACGAGGGTCAGGTCAGCCCGTCACGAGGGTCGGGCCAGCCCGTCACGAGGGTCGGGTTAGTCAGCGGGCCGCGACGGCCACGCCCTCGGGCCACACAGCGATGCCAGCAGATCGCGCACACGCGTGTGGCATCCACCGCGCATCCTGCAGGACGTGTTGGCTCCAGCGTCGAGGGATTGGAGAGGCTGTACCTCCCCAAGCGCCGCGGTGACGGACGCTGAGGCCCGGACAACAACCTACCCGGGACACGCCAAAGCAAAAGGCCGTGACTCAGCTCTCGTCGAGCCCCTCCGGCCGGGCCGGCCTGTTCCACGCCCAGTCGGACACCCCGCACCGCGTCCCCACGTCTCTACCTTGACTCTGTCCAGCCCACCGTGCTCCAGTCTCCTGTCCTGGTGCTGTCTGGGCTTCGCACCAGGGGACTGACTTCGTCCCCCTCCCCTGGTTGCAGTACGGTACCCTGACCCCTGCATGCCTTGCCTCACTGTGTCCTAGTCTCACAGGCCATCTTCCAGACCTGCCCCGTCCCCCTCCTCCACGCTCCAGCGCTGGCTCAGCCTGATGCACTCACCTCCACCCTCCTGCCCTGGTTCTGGACCATGCTGCGGGCGTACCGCAGCCGCTGTCCGTCCTCGCCAGGATCCGCCACCAGTGTGCCCGGCTCCAGCTGGTCAGCGGTCAGCAGAGGCGGCGAGTACCGGCCACTGGCGTACTCCCGCAGGCAGGAGGTCACCAGGTCATCCTCCGCCTCCTCGGCGCCGTCAGAGGTTACCGGAGCCGGCCTGGGGAAGGGTGCGGGGACAAGTCATCTAAGAGGTCACCGGAGCGGGCCTTGGGTAAGGCGCGAGTGGAAATTCACCTCAATAGTCGAAAGGACTTCCAAAAGACAAAGATCACAGCAGTTGGACTGGGAACGCAAAACGATAGTTGGATGAGACCCGGTGTTCGGTGGGTCGTCACGTACGCCTGACAGACCAGCCTGGAATGAGCCCCAGGCCTGACGCACAGCTGGCAGGCCAGGCGGTGCTGGCCCCAGCTCAGGGTGTGTTGACTGTCGACCACCACAGGCGGCTCACGAGTTAACGAAGCAATACACGAATTAAAGCGTTAAGAGTTAATAAATAGTACACGAGTTAATACCCTCTACACGGTACCACGCAGGATCGACAAATTTTACGGCATCTGACAAGCGATTGATGACACACTATGAAGAGAAAATTCATCGATGTCAGGTCGGCCACGTGTTACACCATGGCCGGTGAAGGCGTGCACGGTGATCTTCGACCACACATGTAATTAGTCGAGTTTTTGCTCTTAGGTTCGATTGCTCTGATGTCATGGGTCGATTAGCTTAATTGCTTATCAGTTAGGGGCAATCATAGTCTACACCATACAAGGTCTGATCCAACTGCCACCAAAATCTCATGTGAGGTCCACTTGCAGGTGTTAAGCCGAAGTGACGGATGCAAAATACTTTGACCTACAATCCCACATCGATGTCTCATGTCTAACATGTGAATGAGAGGAGCATAGCAATAACATCCAATGATATGATTTTAACTGTATCTTACGTAATCTTAAAGGAAGTGTTCCACATTTATATGGTTTTGAACTGAAATAGCCATCTTGAAGACCTTTCAGTTCTGTTCACAACCCTGCTCTTCTTAAAACCTAAGCCCCTCTATATTCTGAGCCGCACGCCCGCGAAAATGTGAGAGTATTTCGAGGGAATAATTTCAAGGTCACAGTATTGGCATTCATGATGTAATAAAGCATCCTTTAAACCCTGCCATTCCATAAACCGTACCACGATCAAGACCATTTTTGTCGATGCGTTCATATCTGGCGTTCGTGTGAGCAATTTCCAGATATAACGGCCGGCAATTGGCTCTCGATCAGTGTTGTGCACGGTACGATGACAATCAAACCATGACGCAATGAGGTGCATATTCACCAAACAGAGATCGTACTGTCTAGAGCAGCCTTTCCGCTTAAAAAGTATACCAATGGTTATAGGTCAGCCTGTTTTATCATGTCTGATGCCTGCTTCAACTCAAAGGTGAAACATTCCCTTAAACCTCGCATGACATCGGTCTGCAATACACTTGGTCTTATTTGGCATGATTTGTAACATCTTATCATAAGCCAAATTATGACTTAAGATTCCTGTCTGTGTCCGATCGATTAATACGGGTATCGATCGTCGTTCATTATTGTTCGATCCCTCCGTTAGATACTGGGAAACCGCGTGCTCCTTCCCCCAAGCGGCAGTCGTGAGCGGCGATTACCCCACGAGGTGCCGGGTCGTGGGTGGTGAGTACGGTGCCAGATTACGCTTGCCCACAGCAGTGACCCAAATTAACTGTCGCGCACACCAAACGAAATCCACCCACGAAAGCCGTGATCACCTGGGTTCGCGGGCGCGTATCGACTTGACGGGCAGGCAGCAATAAGCCGTATTTATCTCCAACATCACCACTGCGGGACGACCACGCAACATCCACACCCAGCCTGTCGCCATCCCACGTCGCCTGGCGCCCGGGCACCGCAGCCACGCCCTTATCGCCGCAGCCGCACTCCTATCGCCGCAGCCACGCCCCTGGCGCTGCAGCCGCACCCCTAGCGCTGCAGCCACGCCCCTGGTACCGCAGCCGTGCCCCTGGCACCTCAGCCGCACCCCTAGCGCTGCAGACACACCCATATCGCCACAGCCACGCCCCTGGCACCGCAGCCGTGCCCCTGGCACCACAGTCATACCCCTAGCGCTGCAAACACACCACTGTCGCCGCAGCTCACGCCACTGCAGCCCCGGCCATCCCAGCGCCCGGCACGACCCCGCTGCCGCACCGTTCATCCCAACAGTCCCAAACGGGCCGCGAACACACCGGGCTGTACACGACGGCTCGCAACAGTGCCGGGTGGCCACACCGCGGAGGACGCCCCGGTCCCGGTGTCTCAGAGCGGACCCCGGCGAGGTGGCCACGTCACCTGCCGCAGCGGTTCCGACCGGATGACTCTCACTGCGCCACCTCTCTCGGCGCCGGCACCATCTCCCACCTGACGAAGGCGTGCTGCAGCTCGGGCTCCTCCTCCTCCGGCGCCCCCTCCGCGGCGGCCAGCGCTCGGCCGTCGTCAGCGGCCGCGGCCGCCGCAGCCGCCGGCTCGGCCGCCGCCGCCGTCTCGCTGACGCCCTGCGTGACCTTGAGCAGGCGCAGCTTCTCCCGCAGGTGAGCCTGATGCCGGTCCCGCAGCCGCGCCCGCGCCAGGTGCGCTGCCAAGGTCCGATCAGGTCAGATCAGGTCAGGCCAGGTCAGGTCCAGACAGCGGCCCCCGTACCCACCACACCATCGAAGCTGACAAGGTCAGGCCAGACCGGGCGTCATTGGTCTGTCAACGTTACGGCAGACCAGAGCGGGCGTCCACCCGTGCCAGCTGCTGCCGCCACAGCAGCGGTGGGACAGCACAGCGGGACGGAACGAAATAAAACGCGAGAAATTGGGAGCAAGTTGACTCGAGCCGGGCAAATCGGGCAGTCAAGTATTCTGGCGGTCTCACGGCGCGGTCACCACATGCCATGCAAGTCAATCATGGTTATCCTAACGCATGGTCACACATTCAAATATATTGATACCAAGAACCGCATTAGACACCTTCCATGAACTTTTTATGAGTCAGAAAAGGTCACTGACTTAAAATGACCCAGGTCAATATTTTGTTTTTGGTAGCATACTGCCTAGCGTAATCTTTGCCCCTATCCAAATGCAAAACCCTGTAATTTGATCTTGTTTGACCTTATCTGACCCGGAGGCCATGACCTAGGAACTTCAAACTCTGACCTAAGTGAGTTCACATACCGGTTAACACACCCTGCGAATTTGGTCTCTCTAGCTCTCTTAGTTCCCGAGATCTCATGAAGGGGAGGGGGGGGGTCAAGTTGACCCCTCTACATGAGTGAGAGGTATCCAACCGCCCACTCGGGCGCGTGTTTAAGTCAAACAAGGTCACTTACCTTAACTGAGTGTGTGGCATTTTTTCTTAGAACAGTTGCCTACGTTCTAGAGGTCCTTTAAAGACCAATCTGGAATTTGACCTTGCTTGACCTTATTTGGCCCAAAGGTCATGACCTAAGAACCTCAAACTTTAACCTAAGAGAGTTCCCGTACAGGCCAACACACTCCGTACATTTGGTGTTTCTTGCTCTCTTAGTTCCCGAGATCTCAGGGAGGTCAAATTGACCCCCCACCCGAGCGAAGGGTATCCAACCGGCCATCCGGGCGTGTGTTAAAAGACAGAAGACGGCCGATGTCACCACCCGTTTTTTAAAGAAAGCAAGACCCTGCCTGTTCTGGCCGCCCGTCCATGCCTCCCCAGCCGCTCGCCGTCCGCCCGTGCCTCCCAATTCGCTCGCCGTCCGCCCGTGAGCCTCCACTCGCCTGCCGCCCACCCGCGTCTCCCCAGTCGCCTGCTGACCACCCGTGCCTCCCCAGTCGCCTGCCGCCCGCCCCCGCCGGTCGCCGCTCACCTTTCAGTTGTGTAAGCAGCGACTCCCAATAGCCGACGTCAACACCTTCCAGCGTGTTCTTCAGCTTGGTCTCGATCTGCGTCTGCAGCGTGGCCAGCTGCTCGGCCGTCTTCCCGCGGAACACGTCCGTGACGTCACTGATCACCGCGTCGTGGATGCCCTCGCGGCGGCCCATGGCTGCGGCGGAGACCAGTGACGTCACACAAACCACGGCAACTCGGCGCCGCGGCGGTCAACGGCGCTGGATGGCTCGCACACACACGGACGCTGGCTCATTGCTGAAAGCACGGATCAGACGCGTCCAGCCCTAGATAATGAGGCGATGGTACCAATCCACAGGCGCTTAACGACAACGACCACCCGCGTCTGGATGGCACGTAATTGTCAGTGACGTGGCATCATTCAACTGTTCAGCTCATGCGCGACGGCTGAACGACAGCCACGAGCCACACGCGACAGTCGAAAGACAGCAGCGACAGTCACGCGTGAGAGTCGAAAGACAGCCACGACAGCCACGCGCGATAGTCGAACAACAGTTACGACAGCCAAGACAGCCACGACAGTCACACGCGATAGTCGAACCACAGCTACCACAGCCACGACAGTCACACGCGACAGTCGAACGACAGCCATGACAGTACAGCGCTGCAGTCGAACGAGTCTGTTCAGACGTCGGACACCTCTGATGTTTGAATTTCCGGGCGTCCATAATCAGCCTTTACCAGCGGGACCAGCGGAACCAGCCACCGACGCGCCCTTCTCTTCCCACGGCTCGTCTCAGACGGATGGCGCCACTCACATGCCTGCTGGCGCGCCTGCCGGTCCAGCTTGCGCAGCTTCTGCAGCTCGTCCTCGACGATGACGGTGACGTCGTTCCAGAAGTCGAGGTTCTCGCCGCGCTCGAGCTCTCCATACACGCGGATGTCCTCCTGCAGGTCCTCCAGGTCGGCGATCGACAGACCCACCAGGTACGTGTAGGGCTCGTGCACCTCTACGGCATCCAGCTCCTCGGCGGAGCTGATGTACTTGGCTAGCAGGTCGATAGGCTTGGCTGGAACAGTAGCACGGACCGTTATCGGTAGCCGGGACCTTTCATCCACGCCCAATGCACTGCCACTGGGCCCGAGCCAGACAATGACAATCAAATTCAAAGTAATCACGCTGGACCGCACACCCCGTCACTCTGCGCCCAATTCCTTTCATCATGAACCGCCGCACATCAATAACCCTGGTCCTCCCACACACACACACCATGACATTGCCCCCCCCCCCCCCCCCAACCTCATCACCCTGCCCTCCTACCCAAAGTAAAAAGACAAAAAAAAACAGACGTCCTCCAACTGCAACTAACGTACTGGACCCTTCACCTGACGAACGGTGGTTTACTGACAGCTCCCTTCCCATCTGACTTAATTGACCACTGACACCGCTCATCCTATCAGACACGGTGGTCCACTGACCCCACAGCCCTCACTCAATGGTCCACCCACCCCACCCTCCCGTCAGTGACTCATGATCCATTGACCGCTCCCCTCGCATGAGACTCGATGGTCCACTGACCGCTCCCCTCCTATGAGACTCAACGTTCGACTGACCGCGCCCCTCCTGGATGCGGATGCGGGAGCGCATGCTGCACTGGCGCAGGTGGAACTGGTCCTCTTGCTTCTCCCACTCGCGAAAATGCTCGGCCTCCTGCTTGCTCTGCAGCAGCGCCATCTCCTGATCTCGTTCGGCTCGTTCGCGCTCGCGCTCCAGCCGACGCGCCTTCACCTAGCGGGTACCGAAGGCCAGCCGTCAGCGACACAGCCGCACCAGCGGGTCGCACCGTCCCGAACACGCGCACTCAGGGTCGCAGACGCGGCGCTCCGACGTCCCTGTCAGCGAACATGGCACGCAGTGGAGCGCGGTTGCGCCGCAGACCAAGCCCGCAGGTCGCCTGCTTAACAACAGCCCGCACAGACGGTTACATAACAGACAGCTACAAAACTTGCAAAAAGAACGCACTGTGGTACCTTTTCCAGCTCCCGCTTGTTCTCCTCCATCTTCTTGCGATTCATCTTCTCTAGCTCCTCGTCGGGCACGTCGGTCAGGCCTTCCTTCTGCAGCTTCTTGTTCCAGCGGAACGTCTCCAGCAGGTTGCTGTCGCCGAACGGGTTGTCGTCGTTGGTGTAATGCAGGTACTCCTGATCCCATCCCATGCGCTCCTTCTGGCGTCGCTCCTTGTCGGCGCGTTTGAGGCGACGCCGGAGCCGCTTCTCCTCGGGCGTCTCGCGCGCCTTGAGCGCCTCCTTCTGGCGGCGCCGCTCAGCCTTCTTGCGCGCGCGCTCCTGCTCCAGCATGGTGAGCACGGCGCCCGGACTGGCTGAGCGGTCCGAGCCGGACGTGGCGCTCGATGACGAGGACGACCTGAGGCAGGGGCGGCGCCAGGCGGCCGGTGACACGGAGAGAAAGCGAGTGGCTGGGTCAGACCCGACTTAATTGCAGCCTGCAGGAAGGTTGGATGGGGACGGCCGGAGGCAGGTGACGTGGTCAGGTGGCACATGACCTCCAGCAGACGACGAGGTCGGACGGCGGATGACGCGCAGCACACGATAAGGTCGGGTAGGGGACCACCTGTTATGGATGGCAGGGTCTGGTGGGGGAGGACATCAGCTGTGCACACATAACACTGGTAACTGATCATCAACAAGTGGCATGCAGTAGAAGTGCAAAACCACAGCTCAATCAGTATAGGTCAGCCTCTTGCCCCACATCGAAAAATGATGTGCCTGTAAAGTGTTAAGTATACATTGAGGAACCATGAACCGATCAGAAATGGAGCACACAATGCTGTGCACAGATAACATGAATGATGTGTGTGTGTGTCATACCTTTTGCGTGACTTTTCGCTTTTCTTTGACTTCTTTTTATCCTTTTGCCGGGATCCCCTGGGGGACGTTGACTTCTCTCTTCGCCGAGTTCTCCCGGGGGACGCTGACTTCTCCCTTCTCCGTGTTCTCTGAGGTGAGGCCGACTTCCTCCGTGCACGTGACGTGGAATCGACGTCTTCTCGCCGGCGCGGCTCGGACCGGCCGTCGCCGCCGCGCCGCCTCTCCCGGCTGCGGTCCCGCGACAGCGGCCGGCGCGAGGAGCTAGGCCGGCCGCGGTGCGGCGGGCTGGCCGACCGAGAGTCACGCGACCGGTCGCCCGGCCGCCGGGACGTGCGAGACTCGGGGGAGCGACCCATCACTGCCTGCTGGAAAAATAATGTTGCTTAGGACCACTGCACAATAGCACAGCTGCTGAGATTATGACACATGGACTGAAGCTGGTGAAACTATACCTGGTTATGACACAAAGTGTTGAAAAGCAATGAAACTGAAACTTAAAGAGCATGTCATATAATTCCCTGCCAAGCAAGAAATTTGGCATTGCCAACACACTTTGTTAACATGTTTGGCAAGGGAATCAATGGCAGGCAATGCGAGATTAGTTTTGAACCAGAACCAACAACTTTTGAATTTCAAAGAATCCCCTTTGAAGGGTGGCAGAATGACTTTGTTCCCAAATGCAAGTTGAAGCTGGTTATGAACAGTAAAACTAACATTAGGCAAAGCAAAAGGCAACATAGTCTATAACAGGCACCAGAATGGCACAGACTATACTGTGGTCTATAACAGGCACAGGCTGTAGTCTATAACAGGCACCAGACTGTGACTGCTTTTCACAAATTCAGCTGTCTGCCATGATTCCACGACCAACAGAGGCTAATGCCTTATGATGACTGTGTATGGCTCTAAACTAGGCTGGGCTTATATTATTTTTCTTGCTTTCTTCTGGTTGAAGTAACTATTTCACATGCTCACAGGTTATACAAGACACCATTTCATGCTATGAAATAACCTTTGCTTTAAGTTCCCAAGTACTGAGGCTGACCTCAGGTAGAAGGTCAGCAGTTGACATCAAGATGTAAAACCACACATCAGTGCATTTCTTGACACCTGGTTAACTAGTGGAATGCAAAATGTTATGGATATATTCAAATGTTTTGCATTCCCTGGAATGAAAACACTATTCCATGGGATCACAAGTTTTTCTCACTCCAGTGCAAATACCGTTTGACAGCTTTGGCAGGTCCCAAGGCTGCCACAAATGCATGTTACACCAAAAGTGTCAGACATGACAGTCACACTGCACTGCAGCATCAACATCACAGCAGCATGAACACTGCAAATTGTAGGGCTTAACATTTTGTGCCTGGTCACCAAAGGTTTCGATGCAGAGAGCCTTTGTTTTAAGATATTATCCTATCACAAAGGTGTTTTCAAAAAATCTCTGATAACACTTCCCACACAAAAAAGTCTTAACATTCAGCACAATTTGGCCTAGCTCGAGTCTTCCTCATGTGAGTGCATACTTTTCAGACTGAGTGGGCCCAGCCCTTAGCATGTACCAGACACAAATCTGATTTTCACACATATACAGTTCTTTGTTCTAGGACCAGGATAAGTTTGAAACGTCATACTGCAACCTACAGGAACCTGGCAGGGCTTCGGAAAGTTTCCGTACCAGCCAGCATTTCTAATAAGACAAGCGCCTTATAACAAATTTCAGCTCTGCGGCAGACAAAACTACACACAAAGTCAGCGCTACGGTACCCACATCATATTAACAGAACCTACCAACTGAAATACATCAATCTCACGATAATATAAAATCGAGAGGCGATGCGTTTACACCTTCCACCGTCCACACGCAGAACGTTTGGAATCAAGGTTTACTCAGAATGCGTGCACCTAGCGTAATTCCTGTATACACAGTCAGATAGTCCTGTCATAAACAGACCATCTTCACCAATGACCAACCTCTGTACGATGATTTGACGAATGAATGAGCGATTTTTGACAACGCTAGCACTAGTGACCATTGTAGAACAGTTTTGCAGCCGAAGTCATATATGGCTTTACAAAGACGAATCTGATGAACTACGGACGTGCAACATACAGCCTTGTGCCATGCTGCACAGATGAGTGTGGTGCATAGCTTAAACTCTACGCTTTCTGTTCTTTCCCCAACAGCTTTTTTACCAACATTTATTTTTGAAAGCGATTTGTATATTGTGGTACGTATCTGACACTGCATATCCAAAGTGACTCCCTGACGCATACTGGACAGCTCCCAATGAAGGGACAGTGAATGGTTAATTTCTTGTTATGGTTCACAGGGAATTATAGGAAACACAATTGCCATGGATATTTTGTCATTGATGTGACTCTGGTATTCTTTAAGTACTTCACCTTAGAATCCCATGACTCTTTACTTGTGTATGCTGAACAGTGTGATCTGGGTGTTATGACATTTAATTTCCTTCATGGGGGGGGGGGGGGGAGATGGCAGGCATGTGAGTATGTGGTCAACAATCTGGTTGTGTTGTTATGCCATGTCTGCTTTGCACTTGTGCTCTCAGAAAATTTTGGCTGGTTAATTCAGAATAATACACAGGCATGTGAGTATGTGGTCAACAATCTGGTTGTGTTGTTATGCCATGTCTGCTTTGCACTTGTGCTCTCAGAAAATTTTGACTGGTTAATTCAGAATAATGCACTCTAAAAGACTGTAGGGGCCTAATCATTATTGGCAAATGGAAGCCAACTCCCCACTTGGAGAAAGTCCATGTCATATTCCTGATTTACCTGTGATGCCATGGCCCAAAGCCATTTGTAACTTGGCTGCCAAGAGGGGAGGTAAGTGTGTGTGCCTGTAAATTGTTTATGGCTGCACCCAAGTGCTGGAATTAATTGACTTGATGTGTTGCCCACCTTTGGAACTGAAGGAACTTTGTTTGCTTGTATCTGTGTTATCACCAGCTGCTTCATCAATGGGTAGAGCTTGACCTATAAGGCTATGAAAATCTGGGCTCAAATTGTGCATGTAGTTGTTTGAAAAAATTAAAGACATGCACCCTTACTAGCACATTGGCCAGATGTGTTACATGCAGTGGTTTGCACACAACAAAAACAAGCTGTACATCACTTGTCTTTGCCATGTAATCCACAGCAACAACAAATTTACAGCAATAAAAATGGAAAGAAGTGCTTCACATTTTGATTGATTGTGTTTGTGTAATTCAATAACCCTACACTGACTGTGCCATAATAGCAAGGACAGCAAGGCTATCCCAGTCATCCAATATGCTTGCTTCAAAGGAATTTCTCCATCTAGTACACACCTTGGTTTGCTGTGGGTAATTGTTCATGATGGAAAACCCAAAAGATAACCTCAATCCAGATGTGTTGATATCCTTAATATAGGTGCACAGCACCTTTATGCACATGGGGATTTTGCATTCTTCCATTCTTTGCTTCAAGTAAAGGAATTTCAGAACCAAGTCTCCTGTATGCAGTGTTCCAAATACCATGTTGTCATATAGTCAACATGTTAAACTTCAAGTAAAAAGTGCATGAGAGAGAAAAACAAAGACTGAAAAGTAAGAACTTATATGTGACCATTAGGAATGCATACATTGCTTCCACCACAAAAGATTAGGTTGCATGTAACACAGCATTAATATCAGAGATGCATGAGTATACTAAATGTTACTGCTTTAGAAAAAAACTGTGTTTGCATTTTTGTCATTTGGGCAGCTGATGCCACCAACATTCTGATGACAGTGAGGTTGGTGGAAAACTGGCTGCCCTTCAGCTGCCATCTCTTCTTGAAGTAGACTGGTTGTTCAGCAAGCGGATGTTGTATGGTGTCTGGTTGGCTGGGTGCTCAGTAAGTGGATGTTGTAAGGTGTCTGGTGGACTGGGTATGCAGTGAGTGGATGCTGTATGGTGTCTGGTGGACTGCAGTAGACACATTTTGGTCCCTTTATCCTCATGATCTGCAGCAGAGGTGTGACTGGCAGGCGAGTGTGGGCTGCTGCTGCCATGGAGAACACTCGCTGATCTTTGTCCCGATATTGCGCGGACTTTGGTATGTCCACGACGCGTCGCTCGCCTTATTCATGCGGGGGCCGTATGTGGTCAGTTTTGCAATACTCTCCTTTCAGATATGGAGACTGCCGTTGTCGTAAGCGCTCAGAAGAATAGGAAGGTCATTACTGGGGGCCTACGCACGGCAAACAAGATACCCGAGGAAATTCTAAACGATGCTGATCTAATTGATGCTATCCAAGTTCTTCCTCAGAACTATAATTTTGAGTTGCACAAGACTATATGGAGGATAAAACAATTGAATGTAAAATGTGTGGCTCTTCAGTTTCCAGAGGGTAAGTGCGTTTTATCTTGTGTGAATTTGCATCCACACCTCGTATGCTTCCTGTCCGAGACGCCTGCTGTTTCGACGTCCCATGCCGACGAAGTCTGCTATTGCTCTAATCTTCGGTGTCAGGTGAGTCTGCCGTTGTGACGTCACGTGCAGGGTAAGCCTGCTGGTATCTTGGCGACCCTCGTCGGCCAGGTCTGCTTGTGTTCTGATGTCGTGCGGCGGACCGGTCTGCTGGTGTTCGGATGTCGTACGGCGGACCGGTCTGCCGGTGTTTTGATGTCGTACGGCGGGCGGACCGGTCTGCCGGTATTTTGATGTTCGGCGGGCGGACCGGTCTGCCGGTGTTCTGATGTCGTACGGCGGACCGGTCTGCTGGTGTTCTGATGTCGTACGGCGGACTGGTTTGCCGGTGTTCTGATGTCGTACGGCGGACCGGTCTGCTGGTGTTCTGATATCGTACGGCGGACCGGTCTGCTGGTGTTCTGATGTCGTACGGCGGACTGGTTTGCCGGTGTTCTGATGTCGTACGGCTGGCGGACTGGTCTGCTGGTGTTCTGATGTCATACGGCGGACCGGTCTGCCGGTGTTCTGATGTCGCACGGCGGGCGGACCGGTCTGCCGGTGTTCTGATGTTGTGCGGCGGACCGGTCTGCCGGTGTTCTGATGTCGTACGGCGGACCGGTCTGCCGGTGTTCTGATGTCGTACGGCGGACCGGCCTGCCGGTGTTCTGATGAGCCGCCGTCTGTTGCTCTATAGCGTGAGTGTCGCGTGTCGGCCAGGCCTGCTGGTGTCCTGATGAGCCGCCGTCTGCTGCTCTATGACGTGGGTGTCGCGTGTCGGCCAGGTCTGCTGGTGTTCTCGCTCACCATCGCCGACATCCTGGAGCGCTTCACCGGCGTCGAGACGCTGATCATGGCTGATGTGACGTACGGCGCCTGCTGTGTGGACGACTTCAGCGCCAAGGCGCTCGGCGCCGAGCTCATGGTCCACTACGGTCAGTGACACACGCGTCTGTTGAGAGCTGACTTGCTCTCAGCTCGGTGTAATGAACTGGCTGAATCAAGTCTTTGGGCTGCTATTGTCTTTGTGGGTTGTCACTCTGGTTTTCGTTGACGCACCTCAGTGCGCTTTCCGGCTCCGCCCGAATGTCTTTTTTTCTGAAAGCATCTCATTGGGTAAAAACTAAACTTTCTACCTAATGCGATACCTGCCCCGAGGTACCATGAGCTACCCCAAAGTAACGTAAGGTACCCTAATTCAGGAATTCCTTCCCCCAAATCTCCAAAATCTGCCCCAAATTCCAATTATTCCCCAACCCTACCCCGAGGAGATCTCGTCGAAACATGCCATGTTTTGCAGATTAGCCAGCTGACTCATGGCCTCGCTGAAAGTTTTGGGGCAGAGGTGACCGTGTAGGAATATTACGATCAATTTTGTTCTCGCTTTATACAAACGCGTCGTACATCAAAAGTCATCGTCAAAGCAGAAAATAGTTAACGATCAGAAAATAGCGACATATCATATTACCTTTCAAGTATGGTAATTACCATAGCGACGGTAAGCGTCAGGCCGTAACATTGCCGACATGATATAAACGCATCAAGGCCATTCGGACAGATCAAGGCTTGCTTTTCCTTTTGGGCGGGGAAGGTCAGGCAGCCCACCCAGAAAATGGGTGCCAGATGTTTGTATGGTGTAGAATGACCTTAAAACTCGGAAGGCAGCGACGTATCACCAGTATGACCAGTATCACTTGTCACAGTATAATCTTACAGTGACAAGGCGTGATGCCAAGCACTACCAGGTCATTGGCGAATTTGTGTCATTTTAGATTGTGGATAAGAGGCCTCCAGATTGTGTACAGAGCCCTCCGCACTTATCGTTTCAGTCCCATGTTGGAGTTGCAGTAAAACACAAAGTTTACTTAGGATGGCTTGACGCACCAGATCGCGTGTAAGTGTACCGCTAATACTTTGCGTGACACACACATCCTGTGGATTGCAAAAGGATGATCTTTACAGCCTTAGTGCTGTGTTATGTAGGTAGTTAAATAATTTTCCGACCTATTACCGACCGTGTGGTCAGAGTTGTCTTCCTCGAACGCATACTGACGGCATGCAACTTGTTATAACCCTTCAACACGAAAAAATGCTGCTTATAAGGTGCCATTAAGAAGAATGACAACTCCAAATAAGGTTGTCACAGTACAGATAGTGACGCTATATTTATATAACTGCCGCAAAAATGAGGAGGGGAACAATTACATACCAGCGTCTTAACTATCATCTTGATTGACAAATGTTGAAGTGTCCTTTTGATTCTTGTGACATGGCATGCTAGTGGCATGGCATATAGTACAAACTGGTGCAGTTTTACTCATACAACTGCTACTAGAGCAGGGTTGAGCGCTGCAAACGGACCACCATTTGAGCGGTGCTTTCGCGGCGGTGAGTCCGAGCTAGCACCTCACCATGATGGGTTGTATCCCAGTGAGGTGTATTGCCGATCACTTCTGTCTGTATTTGCAGGCCACAGCTGCTTGATCCCCGTTGATCAGACTTCCATCAAGATGCTCTACGTGTTCGTCGATATCAAGATAGATGCTCTTCACTTTGTGGAAACGCTGAAATTCAACATCAAGGTGTGTTTTGACATGTCCGAATGCGGCTGAAGTGTAAACCATGTTATCAGTTTCTGCGAGAATTTTACCACGTTTTGTGAACAATTTGTTTTTTAACAGCATTTCATGCTTTGTAAGCGTCTCAAGTGCTCGAATTGAGCAATATGACTCGTTAGAAGCCTCGATAGTCTTGTTTTGTCTGCGGGCGGCAGCGACTAACGGTTGTTTGCATGCCGCATCGCTGGGCGGCAGGTCGATCGCCGACTGGCCCTGGTCAGCACAGTGCAGTTTGTGGCGACTCTGCAGGCGGTGGCTGCTGAGCTCCGAGAGTCCGGCTATGACGTGACAGTGCCTCAGGTCAGCTACTCCCCGCGGCAATCCCACCTCCTCCCCCCACGGCCAGGCTCGGCCGCTGTCGGTGTGTAGACGCCTTACGTCCTCTTCCGCACGGTCAGGTTCGGCCGCTGTCGGTGTGTAGATGCTCTACGTCCTCCTCCGCACGGCGATGTTCGGCCGCTGTCGGTGTGTAGACGCTCCACGTCCTCCTCCGTTTAGTCAGATTCGGCCGCTGCCGGTGTGTAGATGCCTTACGTCCTCCTCTGTACGGGCAGGTTCGCCCGCTGCCGGTGTGTAGATGCCTTACGTCCCCCTCTGTACGGTCAGGTTCGCCCGCTGCCGGTGTGTAGACGCCTTACGTCCTCCTCTGTACGGTCAGGTTCGCCCTCTGCCGGTGTGTAGATGCCTTACGTCCTCCTCTGTACGGTCAGGTTCGGCCGCTGTCGCCGGGCGAGATCCTGGGCTGCACCTCGCCCCGTCTCCAGGACACGGACGTCCTGGTGTATCTGGGCGACGGCCGCTTCCATCTAGAGAGTGCCATGATCGCTAACCCCAGCGTCACATTCTTCAGGCACGTGTACATGACCGGCCCAGGAGTCGCCGGAGCGCGTGACAGTTGTCGCACATACGGGACTTCGTTGTCGTGCAGTGCAAGTGATCTGCTGCATTGTTTTTGTCCAGTGCAAGCAATCTGTTACGTTTTGCGTATGACGCCAGTTCCAGCATTCGCTTCGACACCTCCGCGGGATTACTAGAGTCACCCTCTATGGTGTCTAGTGCATGCGCTCTCGCGGTTGCCAACGGCGTAACGCTTTGATCTGACGGAAAATCGGAAACATGGCCTCTCTGATTTATTGCCTGTGATCCCAGCGAGCGTGCGTGTTGAGAGGATCCTTGCTGCCAGCGGTGACACGCGCCTGCCACCACCAAAACAATGACAATTGTGTCGTGTTTCAGGTACGATCCGTACAGCAAGGTGTTCAGCCAGGAGTATTACGACCAGGACCGCATGGTGGCAGCACGGTCGGACGCCGTTACCAAGGCGACGACAGCCGGCACTTTCGGCGTCATACTGGGCACCCTAGGCCGTCAAGGAAGCCCAAAGGTCATGCAGAATCTGAAGGTAACTGCCATGAGTCGAATGAGTCTCGAGAACTCGTCTGGAATTCCCCATGTGATCAAAGTTCCTTTGTTTGCCAAGCATTTTCAAACACCTCGGGCGCTTTCCCGCATGCATTGTCATACTGAGAACACTTCATGCATCGTCGCTGCGCCAATCTTAACGACCAGCATGAAGCGGGAGTGATCGCACCCGTCCGTATTCGCTGCTTTGTGTGAACATGGCGCGCCGCGTGCCATGATGCTGTATTGTGGTGTGACTGTGCAGCGCATGACGGGACTTAACGAAGCACCGTCAGTCCACGTGATTGTGGTGCGATGCAACATTGTATGTGCAACCTGGTGGTTCTGTGCGGTATGTGATGTGATGTAACATGACGTGCCACCTGAGGGCGTGACGTGCCGTGCCGCCCGAGTGTGACGCCCGTGACATGGTGTGCTGCCCCAAGTGTGACGCCCCGTGGCGTGGTGTGCTGCCCCGAGTGTGATGCCCCGTGACGTGCCGTTCTGTTCTTAGTGTGGCGCCCGGTGACGTGGCGTGCTGCCCCGAGTGTAACGCCCCGTGACGTGCCGTGCTGCCCCGAGTGTGACGCCCCGTGACGTGCCGTTCTGTTCTTAGTGTGACGCCCGGTGACGTGCCATTCTGTTCTTAATGTGACGCCCCGCGACGTGCCATTCGGTTCTTAGTGTGACACCCCGTGACGTAGCGTGCCGCCCTGAGCGTGACGCGCCGCTCGGCCGCCTTGCCACCAGGACCGGCTGACGGAGCGGGGCCGGCAGCACGTGACCGTCCTGCTCTCGGAGGTCTTCCCGGACAAGCTGCGCCTGCTGCCGCAGGTGGACGCCTGGGTGCAGACCTCGTGCCCGCGGCTCTCCATCGGTGAGTTATGGGGCATCTCACCACGGCCGTGCGTCGGGTCACCGCAGGAGGCGACACGTCGGCGCTCACAGTGTGACATGTTCGAAGGAAATGCTGCTCGTGCTGTCGGAAGAAGTGGGGATTAAGTGAACGAATATATCTGTGTTCAAGTGGAAGTCATTTCGGTGATCAGGAACACAACATACGGGATCGCGAAAGCAGTCACGATGCTTTGATTTCGCTTCGCTATTGTCACGGACGAAAGAGGGCTCTTTGGCCAGTAGTGGCAGCGATAAGACTGTGGACATTTGCGTGGTGTTGTGTCGCGTACCTCGACCTGAGCTCGGGTGGTGGTGACGTCTGATGGTGCCGTGCTGGCCGGCGCCTCGGCACCGGCCCGCGTCGCCGGCCCCGGCTGACTGTTGGCGCGTGACGGAACGGTGTGACTGCCGCAGACTGGGGCTCGGCCTTCGCCCGGCCGCTGCTCACACCCTACGAGGCGAATGTAGTGCTGCAGCAGGTGGCCTGGCGCGGCCTCCAGTACCCGATGGACTTCTACGCCGCCGACAGCCTCGGCCCGTGGACGCCCAATCACCGGCCGCCGCGTGACGGCGCCGTCGGACGGCACCGGAGGGCCGGCGCCCGCTCCGGCCAGGACCGGGAGGCCGGCGTCCCCTCCGGCAAGGACCGGGAGGCCGGCGTCCCCTCCGGCCAGGACCGGAGTGTCCCGGCCGATGACAGCCCCGGGCCAGTCTGCGCCGCAGCTTCGGCCGAGACCAAGGGCTGCGGCTGCGCAGGTGGACGGCCGGACCAGGGCGTCCTCCCTCCCGCCGCAGGTGGCGCGGCTCCTGCGACGGGGCCACCTTTGACGCGGACGTGATTTGTCTTTGTCCGGGTTTTTGAGCATTTGTTGTGTTTGAGAACAATATACATTTGACATCTTTTGGGAGTAGTTTCTCACGTCGGTCGGATCGGAGCCCAACTTGTGCTGCGCTGAACACAAACCGCGGTTTCATGGATTCGTGTATTTTTCCTGTACACAGAATGCTAGGTTTGGTTAACGTATTCATATGCTCGTTACGCCACAGGAGTCACAGGCGATAGCTGCACACCATGGGCAGCGGAGTCACGAACAGCAGTCGGCAGTCGCGCACCAGATCTTCCCGATGTAATCACAGTTCTCACAGTTCGATTGTCGGAGGCGTGCATACCCCACCATCCAGGCTGTCGTCACTTCGGCCTATTCCGAGTGACTTCCACAACTCCATCGTCACTGTCAAGTCACACATGTGCACACGTAAACAAGTTCAGTCTGTCACTTAACGCTTTAGCTTACTTACGATAAGTGCGAGTTATCCGTTCTATTTGGCCTTGCGCATCATCCCGTTCACGTGCCCCGCCAAACCTTCCACTACCAGTTCAGATCCTTATCCACGAATTGTTCAGCGGGGCCAGCATTTTCAGCAGGTTAGGGGTCCTGCTTTAATGCCTCGTCGGTCGCCTGTTTGTTAATTAAGTCGGAACTGTGCCAGTATGCGGTTATCCTGTTTGTACGGCTGCAAGTGCAGAGCGCCAGTTCTTGTGGATTGTCCAGTGCGTTTTTGACGCTAGATCGGACCCCTTCACTAGATGCTATGTCCGTACCGTGATGTACCGATCATTCAGGCGCCGCCCGCCATCACTGCTTACGTTCGAACTGACTTATTTCCTCAGGTCCTGTAATCTGTCACTTCATTCTGATCAAATAAATCTTTTGTGCCCCGTCCCCCGGCACACTCCATTATGGTTTGCGATGCGCTCTCACCGCAGACGGTGTTCGTGCCAGCCCACCGACGGTCGTCCGGCCCACACTATACAATAGTTTGTCTCTGTTCAGCCCATGCTCGTTTCGCCCACGGCTCCGTGGTCGGTGTCGCTGATATGGGTCTTACCGGCTGCCCTATTGCGGCAGACCGCGTGTCCAGTTTAGCCTTCGGCCGCAGGGATCTCGCCGATCCATGACCCGTGAACCGGTGACGCCACCTCGGATCGAGCGCTGCCACTGGTATGCAGTCAGACCATGTGGTGTGTACACGTCTGTTAGTCTGTCATTCGTACACAGCCAGTCTTGCTATGCTGGGTACACGTCTGTTGGTCTGTCATTCGTACACAGCCAGTCTTGCTATGCTGCGTACACGTCTGTTAGTCTGTCATTCGTACACAGTCAGTCTTGCTATGCTGGGTACATGTTTGTAAGTATGTCATTCGTACATAGGCAGTCTTGCTATTCTGGGCACACGTCTGTTAGTCTGTCATTCGTACACAGACAGTGTTGCTATTCTGGGTACACGTCTGTTAGTCGGTCAGTCGTACACGGCCAGTCTTGCCATGCTGAGTCTGTTAGTCTGTCATTCGTACATGGCTAGTCGTGCTATGCTGGGCACACGTCTGTAACTATGTCATTCGTACACAGACAGTGTTGCTATTCTGGGTACACGTCTGTTAGTCTGGCGTTCGTACGCGGCCAGTCTTGCCATGTTGGGTACATGTCTGTTGGTCTGTCATTCGTACACAGCCAGTCTTGCTATGCTGCGTACACGTCTGTAAGTATGTCATTAGAACACAGGAAGTCTTGCTATTCTGGGTACACGTCTGTTAGCCTGTCATTCATACACGGGTAGTCTCGCTATGCTCGGTACACGTCTGTAAGTATGTCATTCGTGCACAGCCAGTCTTGCTATGCTGGGTCTGTACGTCAGTCTGTCATTCGTACACGATCAGTCTTACCATGTTGGGCGCACGTCCGTTAGTCTGTCGTTCGTACACGACCAATCTTTCCATGCTGGGTAAGGTACATGTCTGTTAGTCTGTCATTCGTACACGGCCAGTCTTGCTAAGCTGGGTACACGTCTGTTAGCCTGTCATTCGCACACGGCCAATCTTGCTATGCTGGGTACATGTCTGTTAGCTGTCTTAGTTGTCATTAGTACACGGCCAGTCTTGCTATGCTGGGTGCACGTCTGTTAGTCTGTCATTCGTAAACAGTCAATCTTGCTATGCTGGGTACATGTCTGTTAGTCTGTCATTCGTACACGGCCAGTCTTGCTATGCTGGGTACACGTCTGTTAGTCTGTCATTCCTACACGGCCAGTCTTGCTAGGCTCGGTAAATGTCTGTTAGTCAGTCATTCGTACACGGCCAGTCTTGCTATGCTAGGTACACGTCTGTTCGTCTGTCATTCGTACACAGCCAGTCTTTCCACGCTGGCCACGCACGTTAAACTGTCACATGCACCGTCCGTTTCAGTGTGTCATGCGTACGCGGTCTGTCCAGGTTATGTTCGAAAGGTCCTTGTATGCGTGTAGGCGGTCAATGACATTACATGTCGCTCGTATACGGGACCTCCATGTGGTTTGTACCTGGTCTTGGTCCTAGTACCTGGTGTCGGGACATCGGCGGCTGGCGGGCCGTCGGTGGGCCATTGCTCAACCGGCGGGTATCCGTCCGCATACGACACTCGTGCAGAGTCCGTCATGTGGTACTGTGTTCGGCTTACGACACTGGTGCAGAGTCCGCCATGTGGTACTGTGTTCGGCTTACGGCACTGGTGCAGAGTCCGTCATGTGGTACTGTGTTCGGCTTACGACACTGGTACAGAGTCCGTCATGTGGTACTGCGTTCGGCTTACGGCACTGGTGCAGAGTCCGTCATGTGGTACTGTGTTTGACTTACGACACTGGTGCAGAGTCCGTCATGTGGTACTGTGTTCGACTTACGGCACTGTCCGTCATATGTCCGTTAGAGTCCGTCATATGGTACCGTGTTCGGCTTACGACACTGGCGCAGAGTTCGTCACGTGGTACTGTTTCAGGGTCCATTGCGGCACAGGGATCTACAGTCCGTTGTGTTGCTGTAGTGCTCGAGCGTCATGTGACAATGGCCTATTGTCCGTCACGCAACACTGATCTAGTGTTCGTCAAGTGTGCTCCAGGGTCCGTCATGAGACAGCTGTCTAAGGTTGCCACTCGACAACAGTCTAGCGCCCATCACACTGGAATTGTGTTGCGTCTGTCTAGGGTCCGTTTTAGAAGGCGCGGTATTTGACACTGGTCGAGGGTCCGTCAAGTGACACTGGTCTTGGGTCTGACACGTGATAATGACGACAGCATGTGGCAGTATGTCACATGCTGTGGGCCTGATGTCCATCACGTGCCCTGATCTAGAATTCGTCAGGGGCCGATGGTCTTCTGTTCATGATATGCCATTAGTTCAGTCTCCGCCACCCACCACCGGTCTGGTGCCCACCCGGTCTGGGGTACGTCATGCACCCCACTGGCAGTCCAGCAACAGGGGGCTCGTGCCGCCATGTGACAGTGGTCTGTTCCCGTCACGTGACACTAGTCTAATACCCGTCACGCGACATTAGTTTCGGGCCTGTCGAGTGACTGACCTGCCGTCCGTTACGCAGCGATCTAGGCCCTGTTAATGACCAGCATCTGCAGTGTGACCCTAGGGTCTGTTAGTGATTGGCATCTGCAGTGTGACCCTACGGTCTGTGAATGATTAACATCTACTGTGCGGGCTCTGTTGATGATTAACATTTGCTGTGTGACTAGTATTTAGTCAGTCTCATGCCAAGTTTCCTTCATACCACAACAGCGTCTGTATGCGCGTAGTGTCGACATGCGATATTTAACTATGGTACTATGCGACAGCATGCGCAGCTTGACTTATAGGTCGGCATGTGAACATGGTCAGGTGTCCTCAATGCGCACTGGTCAAGCGTCCGTCCCATGACACTGGTCCACAGTCTGTCACGTGTCTCTGATCTGATATCCTCCATACGACACTAGTCTGGCGCCCGTCCAAAGACACTGGTCCACAGTTTGTCACGCGTCTCTGATCTGGTGTCCTCCATACGGCACTAGTCTAGCGTCCGTCCAAGGATACTGGTCCACAGTCTGTCACGTGTCTCTGATCTAGTGCCTTCATACAACACTGATCTAGCGTTCGTCCAAGGACACTGGTCCACAGTCTGTCATGTGTCCCTGATCTAATGTCCTTTATAGGACACTAATCTAGCATCCGTCCCATTTCATTGGACTACATTCTGTCACGTGTCACCGATCTATTGTTCTTGATACGACACTAATCTAGCGTTCGTCCCATCACAGTTGTGCACAATCTATCAAGTGCCACTAACCTGGTGTCTTTCGCACGACGTTAATTTAGCGTCCGTCCCATAACACTGATCCACTGTCTCACGTGTCACTGATCTAGTATCCTCCATATGACACTGACCTGGTGTCCTTCATACAACGCCAATCAAGCACACGTCCCATTTCACTGGTCCACAGTCACAGTCACGTGTCACTGACGTAGTGTCCTTCATGCGACGCTAATTTAGCATCCGTCCCATGGCACTGCTCCACGGTCTGTCACGTACCACTAATATAGTGTCATTACAACGCTGATCCAGCGTCGGTCCCGTGACACTGGTCCACAGTCTGCCACGTGCTACTGATTTAGTGTCCTTCATACGACACTAATCTGGCGTCCGTCCCACAACACTGGTCTACAGTCTGCCACGTGTCCCTGATCTAGTGTCCTTCATACGACACTGATCTAGCGTCCTTCATACGACGTTAATGAAGCATCCGTCCCGTTTCACCGACCTACAGTCTGTCACGCGTCACTGATCTAGTGTCCATCACACAACACTTATCAAGCATGCGCCACATTTCACTGGTCCGCAGTATGTCACGTGTCACTGATTCAGTGTCCTTTATACGCCACTAATCTAGCGCCCGTCCCATGACACTGGTCCACAGTTTGTCATGTGCCATTGATCCAGTGTTTTTCGTACGACACTTCTTTAGCGTCTGTCCCATGACACTGGCCTACAGTCTGTGCATGGTCCCTGATCTAGCGTTCGTCCCATGACGCTGGTGTACAGCGTCCGCCC